CGATCTGTTGGGTGTTGGGATTGTCAGTCACTGGACTTGTGTGTGTGTGTGTGTTGTATGTGTGTTGTATATGTGTGTGTATATGTGTGCATGTATGTGTGTGAATGTGTGTGGTGTGTGTACGTGTGTGTGTAAGAGAGAACAAGCGGTTGAGGGAGTGAGAGAGAGAAAGAGAAAGAAAGAGGGCGAGAAGGGGAGAGGAAATAATAATAATAATGATATTAATGATAATCCTTGTATTTGATACAGCGCCTTATCTTATCACGTCGTCGAGACGTCTCAAAGCGCTTCACAGGGTACACCGCAAAGTGTAGTGACTGTGTATTTTCTGGGCGATTGCGCACGGCAGCGTCCCCGCAAACAGCCGGGGATTGAAATGACCAAATATTATGATTATTTATCATTTATATCATTTATTATTAAATAAGTAGAAAAGACGAAGGTTCTGTCGGAGAGAGAGAGAAAGAGAGAGATGTATATGTCGAGAGAGAAACAGAGAAAAGAGTGAGAAACGCAGAGAGAGAGAGAAACAGTAGAGAGAGAGAGGGAGAGGAAATAAGTAGAAAAGAGGAAGGTTGTTGTCGGAGATAGGGGAGAGAGAGAAAAGAAAGCTAGAAAGAGAGATGTATACACAGAGAGAGAAAGAGAGAAGAGAAGAGAAAAAAGAAACAGTGATGGAGAGACAGAGAGAGAAACAGAGGCGAGAGAGAGATACAGGAGAGAGAGAAACAGAAGAGAGAGAGAGAAGAGAGACAGAGGAGAGAGAGAGATAAACAGAGGAGAGAGAGAAACAGAGGAGAGAGAGAGGAAGAGAGAGCGAGAGAGAGAGGAAGAGGAGAGAAAAACAGAATAGAGAGAAAGAGAGAGGCAGAGAAACAAAGAGCGAGAGAGCAAAAGAACGTGGGAGCGACGTAAAGAAAGAGAGACAAAAAGATGGAGAGACGAGGAGAGCGAGAGAGCGAGAGAGAGACGCACGGACTGGTAAGAGCGTGGCCTCTGAAAGCAGCGGTAATGAACGGGTTAACGAGCGAGCAGGGACCAAAAAGGGGTGGTGGTGGGGTGGTGGGGGGGGGGGGGGGTCCCGACACTCACGGTCTGACCCGCAGAAATACACAGTCACTGCACTTCGCGGCACGTTCCGTGAAGCGCTTTCGAGGCGTCGCGAGAGGTGTGGGGGGGGGTGGGTGAGGCGTTAAATCAAGTGCAAGGATTATTATCATAATTACAACGAATAATGTGTAATAATTAATAATAATAATTTAATAATAATAATAATTATTATTATTATGATGACGACCTCACCATCACGCAACCCCTGCCCTGCCCTTTCGCTCACGCCCCGCGGCGCAAAGCAACCAAGGGGCGGGGCGGGGCGGGGGGTGGGGGGGAGGCGGGGTGGGGCGGGGGGGGCGCTTGATGGATTGATGGTGAAACCCAAGTCTCCCTTTACACGACTGGAGGCTCATTAAAGGCCTTTAATGTCTCAGCGTCCGCTCTGGTGGAGGCGAAGGGGGGAAAAAAAACAAAAAAAAAACAACTCAACTCCGGCATCGATCGACTGTCGGGTAATGCACATCTCTGAGCTGCCGGGAACTCGAATGACTGACTGACCGACGACCGACGACCGACCGACCGGGCCGACCACCCCCTTTGAACCTCTCGCCCGCTATAACACGCCGTCACGCCTCGTTGCGATGGTCCCACGAAAATATCCGCTCGGCTCACTCTCGTGGCTTGTTCCGCGAGGAGCTTGTGAGGGGGAAACGGTTCTCCGACCTCATTTCGGGCTCCTTCGAATATTAAGGTTATTTTCCACCCCTTTTGAATTCCTCCCTTGTTCCTCCCGCTCAGCTCCCGTTAACCCCCCCCCCCCCCCACCACCCCGCGGGTCAAAGCCTTAACCCGGGGAGGGTGGTCCCAGCTGGACAAGCAGCGGGAAAGCTTGGCCAGACAGCGCTCTCTCTCTCTCTCTCTCTCTCTCAATGGCCAAGCTATACGGATTTAGCCGGTTGGACTCCGGCAGTTACCCCCAATGCGCACTCTGGGCTCTCCCCCACCTCTCGCCAACCTGCGCCTAATACTCTCCGGAATTAGGTAAGCAGGAGGGAGAGAGAGAGAGAGAGAGAGAGAGCGCGTTCCATTCCGACACTCTATCTCTTGGGGTTTCCGGGTGTAGGTGGGAGGCGGAGGCGGGGAATTCTCAGTTGGGTTTGGAGACTCTGAAGCGACGGTGATGGGTTTCCGTGTGTGTCAGACACCCCCCACTGTGTGCTGACCCCCCCACTCCTCGTTTGTTCCCAGGTCTCCTGTCTCCCCTGTTTCCCTGCCTCCGGCGCTCTTCGGGACCTGTTCCTGCTGTTGTTAGGGAATTGGAATTGGAATTGGGCTTATCCCGGGTCGGGTTGAGGGGCAAGTTCCTCGTCCAGCAACAGAACACGGAGAAAGATTTCTCCGTTATTGTCTTGCTCTGCCCCCCCCCCACCCCCCCTCCCCCTCCCCCTTCTCTCTCTCTCTCCCCCTCACTCCTCCTCTGTTCACCTCACCCTCTCCTCCCTCCCCCCCTCTCCACTCATCCCTCCCCTCTGTGCACTCCCCCTCTCCCTTTCTGCCTCTCTCTCTCTCTCTCTCTAACCCTCCTTCTGTCTCTCTCTTTCTCTCTGACCTACTCTCTCTCTCCTTTTTCTCTCTGTCTCTCTCTCCCCAATTTCTCTCTCTATCTATTCGTGCCCCCCCCCCCCCCAACCCACCCCACCCCCACTGCTCCCCACCCTCTACCACCTGCTGTTGGCTGCTCATGGACATATCATTTTCAAAAAAAGTTCATCAAAACCCCGAACGAGACTGAAATTGCCCCGTTCGCCTCGCCCTTCTCCCCCACCACCTCCTGTCTCCCCTCCCCACCTCCCCCAATAGCCACGGCCCAGACTCTCAGACCCTCTTTCTGCCCATCGCAGAATTACAATAAAACTGATACAACGGAAATCGTCGTGAAATATGAATGAGTTTCGAGCCTTCTCGGTGTCAGTGGAGCCCGGTTTGGGTCAATAGTTGCTTCCCATGAGCGTGAGTGTGTGTGTGTGTGTGAGTCTGTGTGTGAGTCTGTGTGAGGGGGTGGGGAGTGGGTGGGGGGGGGTTGTCGAGTTTCACACACAGCGTCTGAGCCTCCGAGAGAGCGCGACACTGAGCACCGACACCAAGTCCAAATCCTACCCGGAATAGTACGGACAGGAATACAGGTCATGAATACGCACGGAAACCCCAGAGATAGATTGTTGGAATGGAGTGCTCTCTCTCTCTCTCTCTCTCTCTCCCGGGAGGGCCACATTCCTACTTGCCCAATTCCGGAGAGTCTGAGGCGCAGGTTGGCGAGAGCCAAGGCTTGGGGTGGTGGGAGCCCCGGAATGTGCGTTGGGGGTGACTGCCGGAGTCCAACCCGTTAAAACCCCATAGCTTGCCCACTGAGGGCACTGTCCGGCCAAGCTTTACCCCTTCTTGTCCAGCTAGGACCACCCCCCCCCACACACACCCACCATCCACTGGTGTTTGTGAGACACTGAACTACAAGACTTTGGCCACAAACTACACAGTCACTACACTTTACGGTATGTTCTGTGAAGCGCTTTGAGACGCCTGAAAGACGTGATGAGGGGGGGGGGGGGGGTTGGGGGGGAAATTGTTGGCCAAGAGACCAGAACCCACTGGGCTTCTCCTTTGGAACGACGTCAACAACCACCACCTGCGTTGGAACAGCGCCCTTCGCGTGGGCTTCCGTCCCCGAGCGCTCGAATAGCAACAACGCAACCCCCCCCCCTCCCCCCCCACGGCATCTTAGACCATGGGGCGGGTGGGTGGGTGGGTGGGGTGTGTGGGGGCTCGAACCCACAACCTCCCGGCTCGTCGGCGAGAGCGCAACCCGCTGAGCCGGGCTGACGCACGTCCCCCGAGATGGGGGTCGGGGCTCGGACCCACACCCTGAAGCCGGGCTGAGACCGGATTCGAGAGGTTTCCCCCCCTGCGGTGCAGCCGAGGCTCGGAGCGGGTGGAATTCCACGGCCCCCGCACTCCCCCTCCAGCCATTTGCTGTGGGACCGGCCGGTGGGTGCCTCACCTCTGCCACCTGCTGGGGGGGCAGCACATTACATAAGGCAGGTGCCCTCCGAGCACAGTGCAGAGGGACCTTCACTGCGTCTCGAACCCTGACCCGGAGTGTAGTGACTGTGTGTTACTGCGTCTCTAACCCTGACCCGGGAGTGTAGTGACCGTGTGTTACTGCGTCTCTAACCCTGACCTGGGAGTGTAGTGACCGTGTGTTACTGTGTCTCTAACCCTGACCTGGGAGTGTAGTGACTGTGTGTTACTGCGTCTCTAACCCTGTCCTGGGAGTGTAGTGACCGTGTGTTACTGCGTCTCTAACCCTGGGAGTGTAGTGACTGTGTGTTACTGTGTCTCTAACCCTGTCCTGGGAATGTAGTGACTGTGTGTTACCGCGTCTCTAACCCTGACCCGGGAGTGTAGTGACCGTGTGTTACTGCGTCTCTAACCCTGGGAGTGTAGTGACTGTGTGTTACTGTGTCTCTAACCCTGTCCTGGGAGTGTAGTGACTGTGTGTTACCGCGTCTCTAACCCTGTCCTGGGAATGTAGTGACTGTGCGTTACTGCGTCTCTAACCCTGACCCGGGAGTGTGGACGCGCAGTGTAGCGGGACCTTTACCGCGTCTCTAACCCTGACCCGGGGAGTGTAGTGACTGTGCGCTACCGCGTCTCTAACCCCGACCCTGGGGCGCGTGGACGGAAAAGTCCTTCTGCCCAATATGTTGATTTTACGAGTCCGGTCTCCTGATATCAGTGTAAGACGCGGCGCCGGACGCTGCCGGCGTCTGCGGCCGCGCGGTCGCAAGTCGAGGAGAGTAACGGTTCGTTTAACGTTAGTTTAATTATCGCGAAGCGATGCTGACGTGCGGTCTGAGAGGCGGACACGGCGTTTGCTGAGATCCGACGAGTCAAAAGAGTTCGAAGTCGGGGAAGGTGAGCAGCATTGTGTTCACGTACCTGGAGACATAAGCCACACAGACTCGCGGTTGAGGCAGTGGTTCCCTCCTAATGATAATAACCTTCGCATCTGACACAGCGCGAAGTGCCGCGACTGTGCGCTCTGCGGACGAATCGCAGCAGCCACTCGGGCGCAGCAGCGTCCGCGCTGACAGTCGTGGATTGAGTTATTTTTTTTTATTATTCCCCCCCACCCCCCGCACCCCCCCCCGCACCCCGGGAAAGCGATCAGTCAGTTGAACGTGTAAAAACAACAACAACAGCAACAAATTGTTTACACGGCGCCTTTCACGTCCGTCGGGAGGACATCCCAAGGCGTTGGACAGTTGGGGATCCGCGCCTGAGCTGGTGGTTGGGATCAGGAGGACGGTGGAGGACGGTGGAGGGGAGGGGAGGGTGGTAGGGTGGGGGGGTGGGGGGGGATAGGAGGGTTAAAGACTCCACGATTGTCCCTGTTAAGCGCTCCCAAGACCTTACCCACGTGAAGGGACGCAGCGTAGACCCAAGTTGCTGCAGTGACTTACTGTGTCATCTCACTCTTGACGGCCGGATATCTGGGAACGTGAATCCAGGGCTCCAGAGTGTGGATATCCTCTTCGGGATTCTTGGGCAACCACCAGCCCAGCTCCTGAGCTGTTGTCATGGGCTGTCGGTACATCTGGTTAGGAGCTGTTGTTGGGGGGGTGGAAGGGGTAGAATAATTATTCTGGGGTTTGGTGGGGGTGGCACTGATGTCTCGCCTCTCCTCACCAGGTTTGTGGGTTCAAGCCCCCACATTGGAGGGGTTGGGAGGGCCTTGAGACGGGCCTCAAAGGAGGCAAGGAGGCGGGCGGGGGGAGCAAGATGGAGGGACTGTGGGATGGAGTTGCAGAGGGTGGGGGCGGGAGAGGCTGAAGGCCTAACCGTCGATGGTGGGGCTGGCAGGGTGGGGGCATGCGGAGCAGGCCGGAGCCCGCTCAGCGGAGGGAGCGGACAGGTTGGTATGGGACACCAGAGTTGGGGGTTGGGAGGTGTGGGGGGTGGGGGGGGGGGGGGGGGGGGAGGGGGCGGAGTTTTTTTCTGTTGAGGCTTCGAGGGTTACCAACCTTTTGGTGTTTTGCAAAGCTTCTTGAGGTGAGTGAACTTCTCCACACTTCTCTTGTGGTAGGGAGGGGGCTCCACCCTCTTCCTGGGGGTCAGGCATAGCGGGGGCAGGGTCGAGAGAGAGCTGATTCCCTCTGGAGAGATACGGAGACGTAAGAGAAGATGAGCGACCAAGCAACAACAACGCACGACGTCTCCACGGTGACTTTCACGTCAGGAGGACGTCCCAAGGCTCTGGACAGTCAGGGGATTTGGACCCGAGCTGACGGATGGGGTGGAGGGCGGTGGGGGGGGGGTAGGAGGTTGACCAAACATCACCCAGTGGGGCTCGAGCCCTGCTCCTCAGTCATTTAAGCCCTCCGAGACTCCATCCCCTCGATTGAGAAGTAAGTTCCATCGCACAATGGCTTGCAGGGCGCCATATAAATGCAAGTTGTTGTTGTTGCGGAGACCTGTGCAGAACGGCACCAGAGTTGCAGGGATCCCAGGGGAGAGCGCGAGCGGCGGCGGGAGGGGAACGGGAAGGGGTTAATAATTATAACGATAGTCTAACAATAATTATTACTAATTCATCATCCTGGAGGTCGTAGGAGGAAGGAGGACTGAGGGAGGGAGGGAGGGAGGGAGGGAGAGCTGCGAGAGAACATAGGAACAGGAGGAGGCCATTCAGCCCCTGAGCCGGGAGGGGCCGCAGGGTCCCAGGGCATTCACTGCTGATGGCGGCACAGCCCGGCCCGGCCCGGCTCATCCATCGGCAGCACCTGGAAGGACCGACCAGTCACTGGGGGGCAGAGAATCCTCCCCCTCGGCTCCTGTTAACCCCACAGCCAAAGCCCTAACTAACTAACTAACTAACGAACTAACTAACTAACTAACTAACTAACTAACTAACTAACTAACTAACTAACTAACTAACGGGGAGGGGGGTCCTCGCCGGACCAGCAGCGGGAAGGCTTGGCCAGACAGCGCTCCGGTTACCACGGGAACACGAGCCGCCGCGATGGGCGGACGGTGATGGTCCTCACGTGTCGGTTCCTCCGGCGGCGGCAGCAGCATAGACCTGAAGGGGTCCTGGTATCCCAGGGAGGTGATGCCAAAGAAAGCCATCGGTGCAGCACCACAGGCTCCGGGCCGGGGGGGGGAGAACCCCCGCCCCGCCCCGGGCCGTGGAGACAGAGGCAGCCGTCGCCGTGGGAACGGAGGCATCCGTCACCAAGGGGACAGCGGTGGCCATCACTACGGAGATGGAGGCGGCCGTTGCCACGGGGACGGAGGCGGCCGTTGCCACGGGGGATCCAGGCCTCCGTGGCCGTGGGATTGAGGCTTGGGTTGCCATGGTGGGGTGGGGGGGGGGGTGGGGGGGGTGGGGGGGGGGTGGGGGGAGCAAGGCGGCCGTTTCCACGGGAGACCAAAGGCCACCGCGCTTCTTCGCCAGCTGTGGCGAAGTGTAGTGACTGTGCGTTTGGCGGGTGAACGTGGCGGCCTATTTATCCCCCTCCCCCCCGCAAACGCCCGTGAAAGCCAAGTGACCCCCCCCCACACCTTAACCCCCCCCTCCAACCCCAGGGAGACCCCACCCCACCCCTCCCCCCCTCTCACCCAACCATCAAGGAGGTGGACCATACCGGTGACGTCACCGGCTGTGAGGGGGGCGGGGCGCCACCGTGTGAGTGACGCGCGCGACGACCAATCGCCGCTCGCCCCGCCCGGCGCGGACAGCCAATGGCGGCGGCTTCCGGTGACCTGAGGCCCCGCCCCTCCCCACGGGGAGGAAACGGGGCCCTGAAACATTGTTGCAATAACAGGAGACAGAGGTACAGAGGGAGAGAGTGAGAGAGAGAGTGACACAGAGGGAGGGAGGGAGTGAGTGTGAGAGGGAGAGGGAGGGAGGGAGAGGGTGAGTGTGACACAGAGGGAGAGTGAGAGGGAGAGAGAGAGAGAGAGAGAAAGGGGGAGAGGGGGAGTGTGACACAGAGGGAGGGAGGGAGTGAGTGTGAGAGGGAGAGGGAGGGAGGGAGAGGGTGAGTGTGACACAGAGGGAGAGTGAGAGGGAGAGAGAGAGAGAGAAAGGGGGAGAGGGGGAGTGTGACACAGAGGGAGGGAGGGAGTGAGTGTGAGAGGGAGAGGGAGAGGGAGAGGGGAGAGAGGGAGAGTGAGAGGGAGAGAGAGAGAGAGAGAAAGGGGGAGAGGGGGAGTGTGACACAGAGGGAGGGAGGGAGTGAGTGTGAGAGGGAGAGGGGGAGCGAGTGAGTGTGAGAGGGAGAGAGGGGGAGCGAGTGAGTGTGAGGGGGGGAGTGTGACACAGAGGGAGGGAGGGAGTGAGTGTGAGAGGGAGGGAGGGAGAGGGTGAGTGTGACACAGAGGGAGAGTGAGAGGGAGAGAGAGAGGGGGAGAGACAGAGAGAGGGAGTGTGAGAGGGGGAGAGGGTGACACAGAGAGAGAGGGAGGGAGAGAGTGAGAGTGATACAGAGAGAGGGTGAGTGTGACACAGGGAGAGAGAGAGAGAGACCGGGGGAGTGGGGTTGATCGGGGCTATGGGGGGGAGTGGGGTGGGGGGGAGGGGGGAGTGGGGTGGGGGGGAGGGGGAGTGGGGCCGATCGGGGCTATGGGGGGAGAGAGAGAGGGAGAGGGGGGAGTGGGGTTGATCGGGGCTATGGGGGGAGGGGGGGTTGATCGGGGCTATGGGGAGAGTGGGGTTGATCGGGGCTATGGGGGGAGTGGGGTTGATCGGGGCTATGGGGGGGGAGTGGGGGGTGATTTGGAAAAGCTCTTTCAAAGAGCGGCGCAGACACGATGGGCCGAATGGCCTTCTGTGCTGTATAATTCTAATATCTATGATGCTATGAAATACACAGGGAGAGAGGGGGGGGTGTGTGTGTGTGTGTGTGTGTGTGCGCCTGTGTGGGTGGGTCTGTGTGTGTGTGTGTGTGTGTGTGACAGGTATATGTGTGGGTGTCTGTGCGAGAGAGAGTGTGTGTGTGACACAGGTACGTGGGCAGGTGTGTGAGTATCTGCGTGTGGTGTGTGTGTATGAGTGTCTGTGTGGGTGAGTGAGTGTGTGTGTGGGTGTCTGTGTGTGTGGGTGTGTGAGACAGAGGGGGAAGAGTGTGAGACGAGTCCAAAAGACTCGGGAGAAGTTTTCTCGTAAAATCAAACCCTCTCTCTCTCTCTCTCTCTGTCTCTCGGCAGTCGTTGGTGTGTGCTGTTGGCGTGTGCCGTTGGCGTGCGCGGGCCATGGCGTGCCGGGACGTACACGCGGCCACCGTGACGGCGTTCCTGCTGGGCCTGGCCTCGCTGTGCGGGCTGCTGGCTGGCACCCTGCTGCCCGAGTGGCGGGTGCAGACCCTTCTCTCCGCCAACAAGAACGACCGCAACCTGAGCGTGTCGGACGGGCTGTGGACCAAGTGCGTGCGTTACCAGGGCGGGACGGACTGCGTGGTGTACGACGGCACCTGGTACCGTGGTCTGGACCAACCGGACCTCAGGGTTCTGCAGCTGGTGCTTCCCTTCGCCGGCCTGGTCGGCCTGGTGGCCCTGGGCCTGTCTCTGGTTGGCATGTGCCACACGGCAAGCAGCCCCGCCCTGCCCACCCCCGGCCCCGGGGCCACCCTGAACGGGTGCCTGGTCAACAGCCCCGGGTGCCACCTGGTGGCGGCGACTCTCCTCCTGCTGGCAGCCGGCATGACCCTGGCCCCCTCGCTCTGGACCCTGCTTCACACCGCGGAGCTAAACCGTCGCTACCAGCCCATCTGGGCGCCGGGGGTCTGCGCCTACATGGCCCTGGGCAGTGCCGGGGGGCTGCTGCTCTCCTCCGGCCTCTTCTATCTGTGGTACTGCGCCTGCCGGGCCCTCCCCTCCCCGTTCTGGCAGCCGCTCAGCTCCGGGTACCCCGAGAGTGCGGTGTCCTACCCCACCACCCTGACCTACGCCTCCGGACCCTATTCCCGGCGTTCCAGACTTTCCACCATCGAGATCGATATCCCCGTCCTCCTCAGTCCGTCCTGAACCTCACGGCGGGGGAGTGGGGTGGGGGCGTTGGTTATGAGGGGCACTGGGGGCACAGACCCCCAGGGGAGGGGAACCAAACCCTCACCCGGAAACTAGAGACGAATAGTACTATCCTTTGCATTCGACCCGGCGCCTCATCACGTCGTCGAGACGTCTCAAAGCGCTTCACAGGATACACCGCAAAGTGTAGTGACTGTGTATTTATATTAGCCCCCCACCCCCTAAGGTTTCTCCCTGCCCAGGAATCGAATCTGCTCTAACCTCTGCACTACAGGACTCCACAACCTGTGGAGAAAGACGGAAGCTATTTCCGCTCGGGGAGGCTGGAGGGAACTGGGAGGTGGGGGGTAGATTCCCGGCGCTCTTTCCCCACCACCAATCAACAAGAATTCCCTGCAATTCCCAGCCTCCGAGCGAGCTGTATAAACGAATGTCATTGTTGTCACGTCCAGCGGAGTGTGTTCAGTCGCCCTCCATCCTGTCCCTCCCTCTGGCTTTCATGTGGGAGCTGTTTCCTCCCTCACCCCTCTCGGAACACACATAGAAACAGGACGAGGCCATTCAGCCCCTCGAGCCTGTTCCGCCACGCTATAAGATACTACGCGTCTCAACTCCAATGACCCGCCTTTGCCCCGTTTCCCTCCATACCCTGACCCGAACAAGTGTCTGTCCTCCTCGGTCACACACTCAATTCTTAAGGGAAACTGACTTCCAAACGCAGATTGGTATTAAAAATTTCTCACGTTTGTCGATTTTGGCGGTTTTATATGTATATATATGTGTATGTTTTTTAATCCCCGAGTCATCGCTCGTCACTTTGTACGTTTGTCCACAGTTTTGTAAAGTCGGGGTCTGAACGAAGCTGTGAATCAGATTCTCGAGACTGTTTTTGAATTAAAAAGATACCTTCCGAGTAAAAACGCTTCGTCGGTTCGAGTGGCGCTATGGGATCGTTAAAAGTCTTCCAAGGAGAAACCGTTCCCTTTGGTGAGCAGGTAATAATAATAATCCTTGCGTTTGATAAGAGCACGTGACTGCATCGTTAAAACTGATCAAAGCGCTTCACAGAATATACTGTAAAATAAATTTCATTGCATTTTATGGGCAAAATGTGGCAGCCGATTGTGCGCAAGTGGTACCTCGCAAACGGTCGTGGACTGAGCGATCAAATTATTTTTTTTTAATGTGAAGGGTTTGCCCTCGGAAAGCGATCCCATCCCAAACTGCGCGGTAACCAGGTGTGAGGACTTGACGAAATTTGCCAAAGGTCTCGGTCAGCCCCGGGAACCGAACCCAGATCCCCTCGTTCGCGAGACGAGCGTTCCAACCGTGTCCTGTGTGCCCCAGGCCTTGAAGCCACGTTGATGTGTGTGTGTGTGTGTGTGAGAGGAGTCCCAATTTATTGTAGCACCAGTTGTCATTTTTGCACATTAAAACACGCAGCAGCCTTCGGCACAAGTGATGATTTACCTATGACATTTATTGATGTAATGGGTAAATAGCGATAAAAATGCATTTTGCTGCAAGATTTCAACATGTCTTGTAAAGCCAGCGTATAAAATTAATACATCACTTTCGTGCTCAAAAGTACAAACAAACCTCTTGACAATTCGCATTTCATCACGTTGACCGCTGAGGCCGGAGAGAAGATTCTCTCGAGGCCGAGGCGCAGTTTGCCCCGCCTCGCCTCGCCTGCCTGCCGTTTTTAAGAGTGCAATGATCGCCAGGATGGCGATGGTTGGCAGTGACTGTTTAAAAGGGGTCCTGAAGCCAATTATTTGACATTAAATGGGAGAATTCAATAGCGTTACAACCACAATCCTCTCTCCCAGTGCTGTGTCTGAACAGCTGGCGCCCCCTTACAGCTCACTGCTGTCCGTAACCAGACAGAAAGTAGAAAAAATAATGTGCATTTGATACAGCACCTATAACAGCGCTTTATAACATCAAAGCGCTTCACGGGGAATTGCTGTCAAGTGTTGTTACTTGGGGGGGAGGGGGGGGGGGGAATACGGCAGCCAATTTTCCCAAAACAATATTCCACAAACAGCCATGGGGTGAATGACTAATCGGGAAGATTGCTGGTCAGGGATCAGAGTGGGGGAATGGGGTGCGTCGGTCGCTCTTTCAAAGAGCTGGCACAGGCACGGTGGGCCGAATGGCCTCCCTTTGCGCTGCGAGGTTCTCTGATAGGAGAACCTCCCTTATTTTCGAACAGTGTAGCAGGATCTATAACGTCCGCCTGAACGAGCTCGGTTTAGCGTCTCTGAAGGACACAGTCTGACAGTGCAGTGCTCGCCCCCAGTGATGCGCTGGAGTCTCAGCCTAGACCATGAGCTCAAATGCCCTGTGTGGGGTTTGAACCCACAAAATAAAATGCCCATCGATTCTCTTCCTCCCGGGAAACCATGTCCTCAGCTTAAAATCTCCGCAAGGCAGCAGCTGGTAAAAGGATTGTGTCGATGTAAGTGAACTACTGAAACATTCCTTCAATTTAAGTCTGCGTTTGGGCCACCTTTTCAAACTGACTTGCATAGAAACTGAGACGCAGGGATTCGAAGGGCTGAGCTGCAAACGGAGGGAGACCGAACGTACTTGGAAAGTCGCCCCTGCACAAAACCCGCAAGTGCCTGTACGCGGCTCTATTTTAAATAATGAAAATAACAAGCAGGACGAGTTAATGTCGATGTAAGTAATACAATATTCTGCACAGTTTGGTTTTAGTGAATTGAACCTGAAATCGCCTCAGGTCAGTCAGTCAGTGCAGGTCACCATTTTAAAATTTACACATGCAACTTTTTTTTTAAAAAAAAAAAGACTCCGAGTCTTACAATGAATACAATCATTTGATTCTCCTTTCCTCCACAATCCCACCCCCCAACCCCCCTCACTTTGGCTGCTGTTTGACCATTCTACAGGGCGTCCACAAGATCCTGTTACCTCCCGTTACGAAACAGCGATACCAGACTTTGGATGGGCTGAAACAAGGGGTCAGAGATGCATCGCTCCCCATCACTGCGGCCACTTTACAGAAGGTGCGGCAGGGAAAAGGGCGACCGATCATTTACCTGCCACGAAAATCACGGCACTCGCTCGCTCGCATCCACCCACCCCCTGATCCTCTGGATTTCTGAACACAGTTTAAAAACACTTGTACTGAATACAATGAAGTACTTCGAAATACAATTATCATCACTCCTCAGCTGTTGGGTCAGTGCACTGTAGGAAAAAAAAAACATACACACACTGGGGGTAACAGGACTTTGTGGACACTCTGTACGAAAACGGGGTTAAAGAGGAGCTCTGACGTGTCTTGACAGAAGCAGAAGAGGTTGGGAAAAGAAGCCAACTTCATCCTATTTGATCTGGACCTCTTCAGAACCGCCTGCCCCCCCCCCCTCCCACCCCCCAAAACGAGTTCCAGTGTGCAGCCACCCACCCCCTCTCCCCCCCTCCCACCACAAGTGGGGAGATATCAAGGAACTGAGCAACCGGGGGGGAAAGGGGGGGGGGGGGGGGAGAAAGGGGGGAATGCAAATCAGTTTAAATGTCAGCTCATTGCACTCTCTTGGCTCAAGTCCAGAGTTCGTTCCAATCCTGAAACGACTCGACTGCACACTCGAGAAACGGTTTCACGGTGAGTCTCGAAGCAACGCACGTGCACTCGCTCGCTCGCTCGCCCGTTCGCTCGCCCGCCCGCGCTCTCAACTTGCCAGCATCACGTGTACAAATCATTCAATATATTATATAAATAAATATCCACTGTGACCACCGTGGGAGTAACAGCTAAACAATGCGCTTGGGAGGGGAGAAATTACCACTATTGATTGGATATAAGACAGTGCACCTCAATACCAAAGTGCGCTGAAAATGTAAACCTTGATCATTTATGTATCACTTTTTATATCCCAACTTCCCACCCCCTCCCCCCAAAAAACCTGAGTTCGTACGGTACACTAAACATACAAAAACGTATGTACATTTTACAGTCCATTCTCTCCGTTTCTGAAAACTATATAGTACAATCTTTGTCCTCATCTCGAATAAGATTACCAAAAAAGGGGGTGGGTGGGAAATCGAAGAAAAGACAATGTCAAGAGAGGAGAGAGTGGTGGGGAGGGGGGAATCGAAGAGGGGAGGGGGGGGAGAAGAGAGAGAGAGAGAGAGAGAGGGGGGGGAAAGGAAAACAAAATTTGATTGAAATGAAAAAAAATACTTCCCCCAATATTTTGGGTTTTAAGCCGCAAGGGGAAATTAGATGACACTCCTCGCCCAACACCCACCCACTCACCGCCCCCCCCCTCCACCCCACCCCACCCTGCCCCACACACATAGCTGAGGCTCGTAAATTATGCTTTAAAAAATAACACCTCGGTTACACACACTTTGTTACACACACACACACACACTCACCCCAGAACATCAGCGAGCTCATCTTGTTCATCACATAACACAACAGTGGCAGTTTACACAGCGTTTATAAGGGAGAGGGAGCTGTCGGGAGGGGAGGGGACGGGGGGGCGGAGGAGGCGGGGCGAGGCGGGTGGGGTTCCAGTTACTTACTTTGACACTAATCTCTACTCTTCAAGCGAAAATCTATAAATTAGGGATTTTTTTTTCTCTTTTTTTGTTTAAAAAAAAAACATCTTTCTTTTTAAATAACTGAAAATATAAAATATAATCTATTGATATATTGCCCAGGAAGGAAATGTGCGATGGAATGAAATTGGTCCCTTATTTGTAACGCGTGGCGTGGCACCCAACAGCACTGTACAGGGTGTTCACAAAGTCCTCTTACCCTCCCACCCACCCACCCAGTGTTTTTCTTACGATGAATTTTTATTTTCTGTTGCAGATGAGTGGAGGGTAACAATGTCCTGATGACAGTAACTTCCTCCTCACTGACTCCCATCCATGTTTCGGAAGATGTGACACCGAACATGGCGACGGATCATTATCTGCCATGAAAATGATGGCGCTCAACACACTCACACCGATCCTCTGGACGTCTGAATACAGTCAAAAACACTTTGTACTGAATACAATGAAGTACCTTCTATATACAATTATCATCAATGTTCCACATGTTTCAGTTGTTGGTCAGTGCACTGTAGAAAAAAAACACGGGGGTAACAGGACTTTGTGAACACCCTGTACAATTCTTTCTCGCTCTCTCTCTCTCTCTCTCTCTCTCCCCAGCAGTCCCGACAATACTACCCATTGCGAATTATTTCTGTTGCAGCCGTCTGATTTAAGACCATTCTCTCAGTCACCCCATTCCAGCACCGATTTACACACAGCGCTGGGGGGGTGGGTGAGTGGTGGGGTGTGGGGGGGGGGGGGAGGTAATATTCTAAGCATCTGTTTAAAGGCTGAACACAGTCAGTTATATTGAATAATGATTTTCTGTCACCTTGTTGCAGTAAAAGCAATTATTTGTTATGGGCTGATTTCTCTCTCTCTCTCTCTCTCTCAAGTTCCCCTCACCAACGCACTCCAAGCTGTCACTTACCTTCATCAGCTAAATAAATCCCTTTTTTCCCCCCCCCAAAAAAAAAAGAAATAAATGTTTAAAATCACTTCCCGATTCGTTTTGATTCTCAATTGCTGCTGGAGAGACAGTGGATTGATTGCCCGCTCTTGTTGGGTGAACTTACGCAGGTGGCGGTGGTGGCGGGGAGGGGGTGAAGGAAAGCAGGGGCAATTCACAACGCATTTGGATACGGGATGAGACCCCCACCCCCACTGCTTGCTAAAGGACTAAGATTCACTAATGGATGGATCCCCTTTGACGAGGGCCGACTCACACATTGCACAACCCACCAGTGTTAAGGACCAGTTTGACTGCGGTCAGGAAACTCCTGCAAAGCCTGGCTCGAGAGTCGACACATGTATTCCGAGCATCACTATCACAATGTTTTATAATATCGCTCAAGGACTGTTAGGGACAGTGGTGTACACAGTGAAATGACAAAATATCGCCTTCCTCCTCCCTCAAAAACAGTGGAAGCTGCAGAGCAAACCCCCTCCCTCCCCAGTAACGAATGTGAAATAGTATTCACTCCCCTGTGGGTCGGATGGCAGTGATGTATGTTTCTGCTCAGAAACCATACCTGACAATACTGAGAGCAATCCCTGCTTCCCACCAGTATTTTCTTGGGGTGGGGGGTGGGGGCACGCGGGGAAAGAGAGAGAGAACACTCAAGAGTTCTGAAACTGCTATGGAAATGATTTGACCTCGATCACAGAGAAAAGGAGGTGGAGGGGGGGGGGGCAAATGGAGACAGGACGAGGGGAGGGGCGGGGGAGGGGGGGGGCATTGAACAGACGGGACAGCTTGCTGTGTGAGACCAGTGCAGACTCGATGGGCCGAATGGCCTCTGTTCTGCCCTGTAAATATCTCCGGATTCGATGAGGAAAAGAAAGGTGTGGGGGGGGGGGGGGGTGAGGTGGTTGGGATTAAACAAAAGGCTTGATGATCCTGCCATGTTCGCAGACAAAAAAATCTGAAGCAAGTCAATTCGACACTCGATCCCTGTGCATAAGTGGTGTGGGGGGGGGGTGGGGGGAGAAGGGGAGGAAGAGAGATATTTTGCACAGAAGTTATTCCCTCTTCCTCTTTCCCTTCTCGTTCTCTCCGCTGCTCCGTGTGAACAACATCCTAGTGGTTTCCTCCTCCTGACTGTTCTCCAGGATGAAGGATGGATATGCTGAGGGGACCCTGTTCTGAGCTGCTAACCCCCCCCCCACCCCCACTCACTTCTCTCTGCCCGTTTGGGTTTCCTTTTTTTTTATATAAAACTATATCTCCCCCCCGCGCCCCCCTCCAGCCCCAACAAAAAACAGCCAGATTCATACAACCTACAGCTACACAAAAAAAATTAACTTTTTAGAAACATCGGAATTCACACAACACAAAAATACTAACAGTGTAAAAAGTATTCACCTGCTGGGGTGGGGGTGGGGGGGGCGGGGAGTGGGGAGAGCTTTACCGAGCTGCTAAAGGAGATTTGTGATATCGATTAAAATAAATCTTTGTGAGATTTGAACATAGGCAGAACTTTAAGACAAAAATGCATTTAAAAAAAGCTCCTGGAATTTTTTTTTTCGAGGTACATTAACATTGACCACCTCTATCGATTTTGTTACGTCTAGACTGGGGGCGGGGGAGTGGGGGGGGTTCCAACCTTTTGCTTGCTGAGGGTTGGATGCCCTATTTATTTGAGGAACATCCGTGGGCCACGTAAGCAATAATGTGGTGTTTCCCCTTCCAGACACATAACATCACATTAAGGGTTAGGGAGGGCCAGACGAAATGGAGAGAGGGGCCGTATGTGGCCCGCGGGCCGCCAGTTGGACCGCCCTGATAGATCAACGGCATGAAATTCCACCCAGTCCCAGCCCGTGAGACCGACCGGTCTGGAAAGGTGGCGGAAGCTGATTCAATAACAACTTTCAAAAGGGAATTGGACAGATGCTTGCGAAGAAAAAAAATTGCAAGGCAAAGGGGAAAACGGGAGGGAAGTGGGACAAGTTGGACAGATCTTTCAAAGGACTGGCACGATGGGCCAAATGGCCTACTTCTGCGCGGGAATATTCTGTGATTCTAAAGTGGTCCTAATTCTATTGTAATGTGACGGCAGGGAATTCCTTGCATTTGAACACACTGTGATTCTCTCTCTCTCTCTGTCTCTCTCTCTCTCACTGTTATTGAGTCCAGCGAAGGAATTCATTCACGGAAGGGGAAGAGTCGAATCCTTAAATCCAATTCTTAATTCCGCCAACGAAACACACTGTCGCTACACTTTGCAGTATGAGGCTACGCTATGAAGCGCTTTGAGACATCCTCCCGACGTGAGAGGTGCTGTATTAGCAAATGCAAGGATAATTATGATGATGATGATGATGATGAGCAAGTTTTTTTTCCAGTTCTTAAAAAAAAGGGACGGTGGGGGGTGTAAGAATGCTCCAGAGTTCTGCGGCATCTTAAAAATTTCAAGACAACGCACAGTCTCGCAGGATAGCCCGCGTGAGATTTCGAACCTCTGATGAGGGATTGTTTTTTTTTCAAACAACACTAATTGGGGGAACGTGATTCCGAAGCTGTCGCTCACTCCCACCGTTCTCAATCGCCGCTTTTGCTTCAAATAAACGGGAGCGGGCTTCGATTGCGAGTCAGGAGGAACAAACTCACGATTTCAGGCGAAAACACTCTTAAACAGACTTGTGTTTTATGCCGTTTTAAGAAAAAGGTTTTAAAAAAAAAATATTTTGAGACCAGAAACTGCTCCCAGGGCTCCCTGAGCCTCCTGCCAGCCTACTTTGGTCTCCCAAGATTTAAGGTGATGCAGGGTTTTTAAGGTGGAAAATTCTTGAACCAGGTCTGAATTTGGGAATTTTAAGCGCTTCCCAGCACCTTGGGACGTCCTCCTGACTTGAAAGGCGCTATACAAATGTTATTTATTGTTGTGGATAATAATAATAACGATCCTTGCATTTGATATAGCGCCTTATCGCACCTTTGAGACAACTCAGAGCGCTTAAAGGGAGCTATATAAATGCAATTTGTTGTCGGAAGCCCATTTGTGCTTAACAACTGCAAAAAAAACACATACGAATTAAGACTTGAGCCTAAAAATGTGCTACAGCTCTGCGCCACCTTAAATGTTATGCCAAAATGCAACGGTCGGAGACTTGGGCCCGGGGGAGGTGGGAGAGGGGGGGTTTGGAGAGGGAGGAAAGGGGGTGAGGGGAGAGAGAAGGGGATTCAGGATCATATTTATAATGATGTGTAGGGAGGCCTGGACTCTTATTTTAAGGCAGGTGAATACTTTAAAATCTGTCAAACACGCTCAGTAGTAGTCGCTAAGGGGTCACTTTGGAAGTGGCGGGAGGGGAGGGGGCGGCTCTGCGGGGAGTGGGGGGGGCCGTGTGATGTCTGTGCTGGGGAGGCTGGGAGCTCCAGACATCCCCCCGGGGTACCTGAAGTCACTGTAAGGTTGGAGGAAATCGAACCTAGGTTGCGGGACGGGCTGCATGCCCTGGGCACTTAGTAGCGACTCCAACATGTCGAAGGTGTCCTGGTACTCGCTGTTGTGTTGGTGATCGCTGGGGCCCGCACTCTGGCCGTGAGCGTCTAGAGCGTCCTTGTCTGTCCTCCCGTAGCCCCCCTGCTGCAGGGAGGGAGCCGAGGGGGGGAACGGCAAGTCCAGGATGCTCGGGTTGAAGTGTGGCTGGAAGGGCAGTGCTCCCGAAGAGGGCTTGGAGGCTTTGCTGGCTTTGGGCTGGTGGTTGTGACTGGACTCGTCCCCGTGCTGGCGTTTGCGGGAGGAACTGGAGGAGGAGCTGTGGTTGCTGCTGAGGGCGGGGACGCCGGAGGCCGGGGTGCCGTGCTTGGAGCCCGATCGCCTGCTGCTGCCGCCCGAGCTGTGGGAGTGTCTGTGGTGGTGATGATGGTGGTGGTGATGGTGGTGGTTGGACGGTGCCGGGTCTCTGTGCGAGTGCTCTTTGGCGCTGTGCGGGCTCGGGTGCCTGCTCTTGCTGCTTCCCTCGTCCGAGGAGCTGTGCAGGTCCGAGGGCACCTTGATCCGCACTTTGAGCTTCTCCTCGCCGGGCGCCCTTTCGCCGCCCGTCACCGGGAGGCGCAGCTTGATGTGCTTGTCGGAGTTGGCGAGGGGGATCTTGATCCTGATGGGGATGGGGCTGGAGTCCTGCGGCTTGGTGGGCTGCGGGTGCCTGTCGTGGAGCTGCTGTTTGATCAGCGCCTGAGCTGCCGAGGCGTAATGCTCCCTGACGTTGGCCTCCAGGTTCTCGAGCTTGCGCTTCTGAGCCGCCAGCTCCTCGGCGTGCTTGGCCCGGTACTCGTTCAGGCTGACCCGCACAGCCGAGGAGGCCAAGGGGGGCGGCAGGAACTTGCCCCCGCCGTTCTTCTGCTCGTGTCGGCCGCCCCCGTAGGCCCCCGTCCCCTCCCCCTGCGGATGGTACACCCCGTCCGGCAGCCCGTGGTTGTCCAGCATGAGCAGGTCCTGTTTGCCGCTCGGGATGAGCTCCAGAGGCTTGTGGCTGGGAGGACCCAGGTCCAGCTGGAGCTCGCCGTGTGGTTGCGTGCTCCACTGCTGAGGGTCTGAGCCGCTGCCCTCCGCGCAGTGAGACTGCATCGCCGAGGGGTACAGGGAGTGGAAGGAAGCCATGCCGGCCGAGGAGGTGGCGATGCTCATCAACTCCGACAAGGCGTTCTCCGAGCTGGAGATGCTCAGCCCGCCGCCGCTCTCCTCACCGCCACCCTGCCCGTCGCCCTTTGGTTTCTTGGCGGCCTGACAAGCCTGGAGAGAAAAGGCAACACGCGTCACGTAACGGGTAAATTGCTGTCAAGCATACTTTAAGTGACCGAAGGCAAAGGTCGTCCCAGCCACAAAGCTCTCAGTGAGTCTCATCTCAGTGATTACTCCCTCTGCTCAGCGGCCTCTGGCCTGCTCTACATCCCCCCTGCACTGCCCGCCATCGGTGGTCGGGCCTTCACCTCTCTGCTCCTACCCTTTGGAACTCTTATCCCACGGTCCCTCCCTTGCCTCAAGGCGTGACTAAAAACCACTCCTTCGGTCACCCTCCTAACCCCACCCTCTCCGCCCTCCAGCCTTCCTGATTCCAAACCCCAACTCGGGTGCGGAGTCTCGACTGTGGGACGCCTTGGGATGCCCTCCCAACTTGAAAGGCGCTGTATGAATGTAACGTATATGTTGTCGAGCGAGCGTGGGGGCGGCGCGGACTGAAGGCAGCACCAAGGACAAGCTCGCGGGATTGACACACCTACCCGCCAATTCTTTATCCGCTTTAGCCTGTTTGGTGTCTTCTCAAGTATCTGAAGGAATTCGTGAGTTAGCTCTGGAAGACAGACACAGAGAGAGAAAAAAAGGAGAGGGGGGGGTGGAAAGAGTTACAAGACAAACCTTCATGATGGAATCCCAGTTGCTGCAAGCTACATTCCCTCCAAGCGCCTCTCTATACCATAAAATTGACCAAGTGCTGTTGTGTTGATATAAAAGCAAAAGCAGCAACTGATCTGCGCCCCGCCCCCCCCCCACAAATCAATAACGAACTGAATTGGCAATGGATGTAAATTTGGAATAAGGAATATAAACATCACAAAGTATTTCATACATTTCAGTAGCTATCCAGGAATGGTGGTGGGGGCTGGTGGGGTGGAGGGGGGGAGGGGGTTGGATCCCATTTACCTGAATCACAAGACCAGAGACTGGGAAGTGGTAGAGGTTCCAGCACACACATGCAGTGACATGTAACGTACATGACGATGTATGTTCACTGTCAGTACGGGGAGGGCGGGGGGAGAGACACGCAGCTCAGCCAAGCTGATACCCAGTCATCGTAACGATTGAACTCACCGTCCAATAGTTCCAAGGTCACGGTGGAGTCAACATATTCCCACCAGTGCTTGCCATCTGTGGACACAGGAATTTCCCAGTTTGACCACTTACAGGCCAGGTGGATGCATACACAGGCGACGATGGGTGGCTGGTACTGCAGGCAAAAGGTAGTAAGATGTAGGCTATAGGAGCACAGTGTTGATATCACGGGGCAGGTGGTTGGTGGGTTGGCGGGGAAAAAAGAGAAGAGACAAAGTAAACCTCTAATCGTTCCGTCACTGTCACCATTTGCACCGAATGGAAAAAAATCCACTTTTAACTTATTGCCTGTGTGTGTGTGTGTGTTGCGGGAGTGGGGGAGGGAAGGGGGAGGAGATAACGGGCTTTACTCGGTGGGTTTTTAAGAACTTTCTATAAGCACTCAGACAAAGCAGAACTCAAGCAACACAAATAATACTCCTTGGGAATTGTATCCTGGTTATTTGCACCGCACATTGTGTCCCAGAATGTTTTAAAATGAACACATTACACGTGAGCCTGGCCTTTGATTCCTTCTCTCTAGGGTTTACAGGTCATAGGAACAGTAGGAAGCCATTCAGACCCTCGGGCCTGTTCCGCCATTCCATTAGATCGTGGCTGCTCTGTACCTCAACTCCAATTCCCCACCTTTGCTCCATATTCCTCGATGGACAGAAAAAGGTCATTCGGCCCATCGTGCCTACGAAAGAGCTATCCAATTAGCCCCATTGCCCCTCTCTTCCCGCATAGTCCCGCAATTTTTTCCTTTTCAAGTACCTACCCAAATCCATTTTGAAATTGTTTTGGGGGGGGAATTTCCACCATTCTGCGCCAAGACAGAATGGGTCTCGCCGGCTGAGACGGGTGGCTGTTTGGGTGGTGGCAGAGTTGGGGAAGGAGAGAGAGAAAGAGAGAGAGAGAGAGAACACAAACGAGAACCTGTTTGCAGATCAACACATTCATAATTAATTTAAACCTTCAAAGAGCTGAACTGCTCCACGTTGTAACCTTTAGCTGTTGTGCAGGGCTATCTATTTCCCCTGACGGTGCTATTTATCAGATAGTGAAGCCATGCCACTTGGCCGTACTTTTAACCCATTTGTCCTGAAGGCCCTTTGGACACAACAGCAGTGCTCAAGAACTAACCCACTGGAGGCCCAATGGCTCAGTCACTTTATTTCCAATGCAGTGAAGGAAGGCTGTAAATGTAAATTGGGTTACAGTGTGTGGAAACAGTACAACAAATTGAGAGTGAGTGAGTGGGACAAACAACCTGTTGGTGGCCATGAAATAGGATGTCTGCGCCAAGTCCTTGCTCGCTGGGGAGAGAGAGAGAGAGAGACATTAGTGCGTTGTCTATGGAGTGAGACAGTCAATTGCAATTAAAGGGGACTTAGGGATGGGAATGTTTAGGGTATCTGAATTTAGGGTGACTGTATAATAATCACCGCATTCGATGTGACTCAAAAGCACATCGTAAGGAATTGCTTTCAAGTGTCGTGGCTGCGTGTTTGTATATAAATGCGGCAGACAATTTGAACCAAGGACCCCCAAATTTATAATAATAATAATCCTTGCATTTGTGCTTTATCACGTTGGAAGGATGTCTCAAGGAGCTTCACAAGAATTACTGTACAATGGAGTGACTGTATATTTGTAGGCAAGTTGCCTTACTCCACACACCTGTTTATCTAGCAGTAAATAGGAACCCGGTTGTTAGTCGATTGCTGGTTCGTTTTTCCGGGGGTAACAATCCATTATAAAAAATGTGTCACTCAATCTACAAAGTATACGGTCAAATCACGCTACAGAATATTCTGTGAAGCGCTTTGAGACGTGATAAGGCGCTGCATCAAATGCAAGGATTATTATTATAACCTGGAAAGGCACAGATGGCGCAGGGCCTTGGTTTAAGGTCTCATCCGATGACGGGGAGCGCGAGCGACTGCGCCAGGCTGGCACACGTTTAACTGGCTTTAACATCGTTGTGAGCGAAGTTGTCTCCGTTCCTTACCTCTCACCAACTGTGTGCATTTGACCACGTGTGTGTGTGGGTGATCGATAGTGATCTCGAAACCTGAAAGAGAAGAAACGCACAGAGCTGGTTAGTGCACGACCGATCGAGGGCTGCGCTCATATCACGGAAAGCCAGCACGTGCTAAAGTTACTCGGAAACCATTCTGTGGTATTTATTAATCATGGATGTGGAAACTTTTAGCTCCTTGGAATGCTAGAAACATACAACATCAGAGGCCATTGTGTTCTGTTCTGAAAGAGCTCTTCGTTCAGTCCTAACTCCTGCCTTTCCCACACACACTTTTGTATTTTCCCTTTCCTGTACCTGTCAAAATCTCTTTTCAAAAGCCTCAGGATTTCCAACTGGGGTGTGTTTGGTTGGGCATTGTAATGACCTTATGTCCTCTAGTGAAAAAAAACACTTTAGATCTTAAATGTAGGCCCTTTAGTTGGCAGCTCTCAAGTTAAAAACAGGGAGATAGAAACTATCAAAATCCCAAATACAGCGATCTATAACTCTCCCGGCTAATGCTCTGAATACTTCTTCACTGACCTGTAACTGATTTCAAATGAAGTGTATACAGTTTTTTACTGCATTCATCATTTGCACAGAAAATAAGATTTGAGGCACTGTAGGGTGAGGGGCTACATTACCTGTAGAGTACTGAGATACCCATTGACAGAAGCGAAAAGAATTTGAGGAAATTTGAACGCCCGAGAACTGAACCAGAACGTAATAGTGTGATCCCACCAGTTCTGGCCAAGTTCCACTAGCTCCCTACCACCGAACGGATTGATTTCAAGACCCTCTCACTCGCTTTCGTATCCCTTCTGGCCCTGACATCTCGGTCCCGGGATCCGTTACTCTAAAGCTCTCTGAGATGCCGTCCGGCGTGGAGGGCGCTATATAAATCCAAGTTGTTGTTGTTAACCTCTCTGACCTGCTTACTCCCCAACCCGCTGCATCCAACTGGCTCCGGCCTTCTTAACGTCCCTCATGCCCTCCGTTCCACCATTGGCCACTGCACCCTGAAACACTCTTCCTCTATCCCTCTGCCTTGCCCTTTTCTTCCCTATTTTCAGATCACGCCTGAAGACCTTCCTCTTCAACCGTGCCTACGGTCAACTCCCACTCCAGCCTAGACTCTAAAGTTCATCACAACATCTTTACATAACAAATGACACGTTTTGTTCGAATTAGGTTTTTAAGGAATAAATTATGCCTGGTCTGTAAATTAGAGAGCTTTGAGTGTGTGATCGGGCTGACACCATGTGTCAGGTTTCAGCAATAACACAGTACAGTAAAGGCACAATACACAGACTTAATGAAACCAGAGGTCTGCATAAGGTTTCAACTGATCATCCATTCAGCTTGCCTTCTCTCAACAGCTGTGGGTAAAAGCACAGGTTAGACTCTCATTCTGCAGCCATGCCATCACGTCTGTGTTCACTGCCAGCCCGCTTGATAACTTACCCAGGGTCTGCAGTATAATGCTCTCTAGAATGACCAGGTCTTGGGCTTGCTGCAGGTAAGCCTGGGGTTGAGAGGACAGGCAGATTACTTACTAGGAGGCAGCAAAAAGCCCCTGTACATTTACAGCAAAAGTTACTGTAACACTCATCAGACAGCTGTCTGCCTTTTGCACTCTCCACCATTCATAGGTCTGTAACCACTCTTCCTTCACACACCAAAAAAAACCTGCACTTTTTATTTCATCGCCTTCACAAGCTAGAGGCCCCGAAATTCCATCTAGTCTCAGCCTGGCCAGACCGCTTTGTCTCAAGATTGAAGACGGCGAGTGCAGGTTTGTGGAAATTTCTGAAATCATGCCTTTAATTTGGAAGCCGGTTTCTTCTTAGGAACACGTTTTCTTCCCGTAATTTTGCGCCACCGTAAATTTATGACAAACAATCCTTGCGTTTGATACAGCGCCTCGTCACGTCTTCGAAGCGCCTCAAAGCGCTTCACGGAATATACTGTAAAGTGTGGCAACTGTGAAATGGCCTCGCGGGCTGAGACTAGAATGTGGAGCATGAGAGGAGATGGAATTTCAGGGCTCCCACCCTGCTTTTGATTCAACAATCCGCACCTTTCCAAAACCTTGGATTGGGGAATCGTTTTCAGCCCTTGTCACAACTCTGCCAATTGTTTCCTTTCTCAAATCAGGTCAAGCTGTTGCATGCTGCAGTGATGGGATATTACAACACGATTTAATGTAAGGTTATATAACACAATCGTATACCGTAGTCCCACAAACATTTCTGGGTTCGCTCCGTTTAACACTGTGACGCGAATACCAAGTGCAGGTACGGAGCCTTTAAGTAGCAGAATGTGAAGACCTGTACGGACTTCGCTGTAAGATCGATTCACTTTTAAGGTTCTGACACCAAACATTGTCATTCACACTGCCGAACATACCTTTTGGTGGAGAGAGAGCAGTTTATCAGTAATCACCTGTATCAGGCAACAGAGAGCCATGGGGTTGACGAATTAAGCGTAGTAGTCATTGTTTCCGTCAGGTCTGTACCACCCGACGAAAACAACTTCTTTATTTTAAATAGAGGGCACACAAGAACAGGAGGAGGCCATTGAGCCCACTGAGCCTGTTCCATGAGTTCATCAGATTTGTGGCAGATATCTTAATCCATTCCCCAATCTTTTCTCATGTCTCTCAATACACAGGCGCCTGTAAAATCCATTTTCCGCATCCCAATGGATTCTGCCTCTACAGCTTTCTGGGGCCGTGCATTCTGTGTGAATTTAAGTGAGAAACATGAGGAGCGGAGCCGGGGGTGACCGTTCCCTGTTGGGACACTGGGCAGAATCCACCTGAATCGCAAGGCAAATGCCCACGTTTGGGCTGGTGGTGGCAGAGGCTGGGTGACAATTTCAGGTGGAGCCAACCTTCAGAGGGAAATTACGCTCTTAAAAACCCTCTCATTTTAAGAATCACTGAAGGGGCCCAAGTTACGGGACTGGGACGCACACATCATAGGATGTTCAGTTTTACAGTATCATGCTCGGTAATGCAACCAACAAGGGGCAGGAGGGGGAGAATAATAATCCTTGCATTTGATATAGCACTTTTCACGTCTTCCAGACGTCTCAAAGCGCTTCACTGTGAAGTGAATTGATTGTATTTGTGGGCGAAACGCGGAAAAGGGTTCCCGCCAATCGACTAACAACTGGGTGCTTACGTGCTGCTGGGTAAACAGAGGCTTGAGTAAGGAAACTTGGCCAAAGCTTTGCCCTGCCCGGGAATCGGACCCGGATCCTCTCGCTTGCATGGCAAGTGCTCTAGCCACTACACTGCAGGACTCCACGGAACAGAGAGAGAGATGAGGGAATGGAAGGATACGCCATCTACCAGCTACTTACTTCGCTCTTGGTGTCTGGAGAAGGCTCCTGCGGCTTTAGACATGCGTGGGCCACCTTGATGACATGCTCCAGTTTACGAGGCTGCTCTTCCACTTTAGCAGCCAGGAACAGCGCTGCGGGGGCGATTGCCTGCGGAGGGAAACCTTCCTGATCAGTCACACACATACGCACATAAATCCCAGGAGGGTGGGGGGTGGGGAGGAGGGGGGAGACAGTCACTGCAGCAAACACACCCATATTGAGACGTCCACTGAAAACCTTTGCACACTTACATTCCGCTGAAATTTGGTGAAGGATTGCTGCATGTAAAATCGATGCATATAAACAATGGCGGTGTTGATTGTTAGCTGAGATCTGAAGGGGGGTAAGCATTAAGGGAAATACCTTGTTGGTACATCTGTTGCTTCACACTTAAAAACAAGTTATTCTTCACAAATGTGTAAATGGGACGTGAACTTAAGAGTTCAAGCTGACATTCCAGTGTAGTACCGGGGGAAGCTCTGCATTGTCAGAACCATCAGCCTCTCTGCCACCACCATCTGGAACTCCATCACGGAATCCCTTTGCCTCGCTCCTTCCCTTGCCTTCTTCAAGGCTCGTCTCAAAATTTCCCTCTTTTAACCGTGCCTTTGGCCACACTCCCACCCCTAACCCTCCACTTCCCGAATTCCAACCCTCAACTCAGCTGCAAACCTTCGACTATCTACCGCCAAATGTAATTTATTGTTGTGAAGGATCCATCAGATAAGATGCTGAGCCCAGATCCCGTTTGTCTACTCAAAGTTTCAAGGGAGCTTCTTTTGGTGTCCTGGCCAACAGGCCTCCGAATTTATTTGAAATTTGCTTCATGATTATGTACAAATTGGTTGCTGTGTTTGTCTGTGAAAAACGTCAGAACTGAGATTACAAGTAAAGCGCTTTTGAGATGGTTTGATGTATAAGTTGCTTTAGAAATGCAAGTTCTCTCTTCTGAGAGAAGGTCAGTGTTGGGAAGTGCAGAATCTGCACCAAGCACTGCTGGGGTACAGAATAATGCTGTGTTGTTGTAACCTAAACCTAAACAAGGTGGAGGAAATTCTAGTGATGGACCTCACCATCATGTCCACTGCTACCCTGCCCCAGGACAGCTAAACTAATGTCAACTCTGCAATGTCCTTATCATACAGCAAGCACACTTGTGATGACGTCACACAATATCGCAATATCCTCCAAAATCACGTCTTCAGTCCACGCACTGTAACCAACGTCACTCTTTGCTACTGTTTATCTTCCGTTTCCCCTGAATCACATGGCAGACGAAGGGGAGGTTTAATGTCTCATCACCAACAAACTTTCATGTCAAGAGGACGTCCCAAGGCACTGGCCGAGCTTCATAGGTCTGAATGATCTGCAGCTTGTGGTGGGAAGAGTTGGGAAGCCCGACAAGCAGGGAATTAGCATAGTCAAGCCTGAATGTGATGAATCCATGAATGAATTAATAATGTCTCAATAAATCAACAACTTGCATTTATATAGCGCCCCTCATGCAGGGTAGTGCCTCAGAGCCAAAATGTAAGCACCTGATAGTGGAGTCAGCATGGACTGTAGCCTGAATCCCAACGAGGAGCTTCAAACCCCACCTATCCTGTGACTCAGAGGTGAGAGGGCTGCTGGCTGACTGAAGGTCATACACAGTCAAATGAAGCTAGCTCCTTGTAATCAGCTAAGATTCCAAAATAACTTTAACTAGAGGTTTAAACGTATACAAGCATCCTATCTGCTGAGTTTCGGAAAGAATGGCTGTTAATCAGTTTAGCTGCAATTTATTTACCTGCAATTAGCTTTGAGAGAAACAGAAATTGCTCTAGAAGTGTGATTAGAATGGAAGGTTTAATTAAATAGGCTGTAAAGGCGTTTATTTAAAAATATTATGTTCAAGGAGTGACACCACAATCTACACAAACATAAACTTAGGGGAGGGGGAAAAATAGGAAAAGTGAAGCCAGCGATTGTAGGTGTTTATTTTAAATTTATGTATATATATTTTTAAAATGTGTAACCTGCGGCTGCCAATAAGTACATCTGTAGTTACTTCACATTCTGTCAATCGCCCTGAAGCGTTTTATGTTTAGTGAATACACCACAGTGATTGACGGGAGATTCATGTGAAGTAACCACAATAATCAGTTTTATTTCTAAAGATGAAAATCTCCTGTATTTTTTTTGCTCTCTCTTCCCCTAACACAGCCCTCTCAGGGCCCAGCTCACATAGCCCTCCGGAGCTCAGCCCTACCCTGAGAGTCTCCATATCATAGGCAAGGATTATTGTATTGTTATTATATTAATTGAGAGACTTAAAAATCTTGGATCTCCTTGTTCAGAATCCAACAAACAATGTAACTGCTGCCCTACAGAATTGGATTTCATTGCATTTAAGTTTCATGACGCATTTATTAACCACCGAGTTGGAGGCTAGTAGTTTGCAGGAGCAGGTGGCTTTGTCATTATTGTGTCCAAGGTTGGAGATTAGCACATTGTAAATATGTTTATGGCGCTGACAATAACCATAACTTCCTTGGTTGCAGATCACGCGGTAGTTCAGACTTTAAGTAGAAAGTAAAAGTACTTGCTTATGGAGACTGAGGCTGATAACCAGTTAGACCAGAAGTGTATACCATCAACAAGAGCGTCCTACAAAAACCAAAGTCATCACAACACATTCCTAATAATTCAGACTGTTAACTGCTGCCAGACTGAAACTCCAACACGCTTTGCCCTAAGAGCTGCACAGTTTGCAACACTGAAGCTCAGCCAAATTAAACCAGTCGTAAAGACTGCATCCTTTGCAGCAACAAAAACCGGCTTCTTCATATCCTCCCACTGACTTTACACTAGCCTTGCTGCACCTTTTGCTCTTCCATTAAGATTTTTGGCAAGTCTAAGACTTATAATTATTTCTTCTCTCCCAGACACCTACTACACAATAATTGTTTATTTCTGTAGTTGAAAATCTCTTGTGTGTATTTTTTCCCACCCCCTTTTACCTGGGCCAGCTCATGTGCATCTTCAAACTGCTGAAAGCTTAGCCCCCCCTAGAGAGGCCCTACCCTGAAAGTTTCCATATCAAATGTAATGGACCCCACACAAATGCAAGGATTATTATTACTACCAAAGCAAAAAGAGATCTCACCACGGTGATGTGATGACATCTACCGGCTGTCTTTCAGGTTGCGAAACGTAACCTATTGTAAAACGCAACACACTTTTACAATTTACATTTTACAATTGTGATTGCACGTCTATCTAATCAAACGACTTCACTTGGCTCTGAATAAAAAAATCTACAAATGTTACAGCACGATTAATATTGATTTAGCAATAAAATTACAGGTGCATTTAAAACTGGAGATAGCAAGACATGCCTGGGTTATAACAGTCATCTTTCAAATACTGTAGAAGCCACCATCTGTTAACAACACTATTTTGGATTGCAGTTATATATAATTATTTTTCCTTTTCCCCTCATGTTTTTGGAAGGGTACGTGTGGAATGAATCGCACGTACCCACCAGGACACTGCTGAATGACGCATTAACTGGTCAGATTGGAGACTACGGTGAAATGCAGTCCCGTGTTTAGACCTAATACACACACACAATCCAAATATAAGTTCACGTATAAAGACCAAATGAACGAGGGGCCTCTGTATGATTAATTCTTTCCCCAAACACGTGACAGATTTTCCACTGAGTTCCCAGTTTTAAAAATAAACCAGAAGTGTCTACATAGGTGAAGAGGTCATTTACGCTCTCTCTGTATCCCTTAATTCCCAAACGTCTATTCCTGTCAAATGCGTCAATAAATCATCCATTTATCATCTTTCAGGGATAGGGGGAATTGCACACACCTTCGCATTCTATAAAGAGTTTCAAACTGTCTACCGTGATGTCAACAACAAGTTTCACACAGTAAAAGTTAACAAAAAAATACTGTTGATATCAGTTTGTTTGATCTCTCCAATTCTAACTCATTGAATCCACAACTTTTCAAGCAGTGTGTACAGCAGCAACTTGCCTCAACAAACACCTGACAAATTGCTATGAGGAACACAGTGCTCTTTCCACAAAGCTCCCATTATAAAACAATTCATCTTTACAGTCTGCATACATATGCCATATTACAGGAAGTGGATTGCTAATTAGTAGCGGTAAAGCGTTCTCTCAGACATGTGTGTGTGTGCGGTGATTGAATCGTGATGTTGATTTCAGCAGGGCTGCAATATCAACAAGCAGAGACTCTCAACTGTGGCAATGATACCCAAAACAGCCAGTGAATATGGTTTTGGCATTGCTGATCTGAATAGACAGGTATAAGGTAAGTTTCACGCGCAGGACCCTAACAACTCACAACTTGAGATAAGTAAACCTGTAATTATTGTCGAACTGAAATAAGGGTACGGCCCTGGCAGATTTCCTCCAGACGAGGAGGAAAAGCAACATCTCAAACAACCTTTTCCCTTAACAAGGCCGCAGTTCCCTCATTTCGCCCGCAAAATAGTCAATTCACTTTACGATGTGTTCTGCGGAGCGCTCCGAAACATCTCGACAATGTGGTACGGCATTATATCAAATGCAAAGATGATCGTTGGCAGTTATTATTCCCGTCAGCTCCCAGTGCACGATACGCTCACTGCCTGCAAAGCCTCCACGACCCAAACGTTAAAACGCTCGGCGGGGTTAGCGTACAAGCTTCCTGCAAGGCTGGTGGTGTGCTTGCACATTCACCACATTATTTTACATGCAACAGGCGAGAGGACAGGACTGGTGTGTTGAAGAAGGGGTGTGAGAGGTTCCGACCTCACAAGGTGCTGCATCAAAGGCGACAACTATAAACGATGCAGGGGGTGAACTGCCTTCAGCGTGGTCTTGTTTAGCTGCCAGAGGCATTGGGAGGCACTCCATGCGCTTTCTTTTTAATATAATACATATATATACACATATATAATCACAAAGTGAGAGGTGACCGAACGATTCCCGGTCTAACACAGCAGCGAGTCAGCGCAGGGGGAGGGGAGGGGTGAACGAGGAACCTCAGACCTCTCCCCCCCCCCACACCCCACCACACACACACACACACCCAATCCATCTCCACGTTCAGGAAAGCTTTCGCTTTGTCCCCATTTCCCCCCCCCTTTCCCCGCGCCAACTCCCAAGCCCGCGACGGACAGGCAGCGGCAGGTAGGCCTCAGCCCACGGCCTAGCGCTGGGGGACAACGGGCTCTGGCCCACCCCCATATAGCCAGGTGGGAGAAAAGGGGGGAGGAGGAGAGAGAGAGAGAGAAAGAGAGAGAGAACAATGCTTTATTACAGTAAAGCGATGGAGAGAGAGAGAGAGAGAGAGAGTGAGGGGAGGGGGAGCGGCTTTGCAAAGGCCTCGCGACTCGAGGAGGAACAAGGCGCTTAGAGCCGGGGCCGCCCTCCCCCCCCACCGCAGGTGGGACCGGACCGTCGACCCACCCCGAGAGAGGGAGGGAGAGAGGGAAGCGGGTTGGGTGCGTGGGACCAAAAAAAAAACCCGGGAGAAGCGGTTGAAAGGGGGAGCCGGCAAGGCGCCGGGGGGGGTGGGGGGGGCCTGCGGCCTAGCCGGGCCCTGAGGTAAAAATGAAAGCGGGAGTGTGTGGGGGGGGAAGGCCGAGCAGCAGTCAGTCTGTAAGGATACACGTTCAGCCGCTGCCCCATGTCCTGGATGAGGTTGGCCGCCTGCTGCCTATGGGAGAGCTCCTTGTCCCACTCCACGCCGCATTTCCGCGACGCGCTGTTCTCCAGCTGCTCGCGGCTGAAGTACCACTTGGCGGCGGCGGCGGCGGACGACGAGGCTGAGGGAGACGCGGCCGCCATTACCCGAGCGAGCGAGCTCGCGCGCGCAGGCGCGGTCGGTCGGTCGGTCGGCGGCCGGACCCGCGTGCGTGCGTGGCGTGGCGTGGCGCGGGCGTGCGTCACCAGCGCTGGCCGCCGCCGCCGCCAGCGCGCGAACGCGCACGTACGCACGCACGCACGCCTGACTGCGCCTGCGCGCGCTCCCTCCTTCCCTTCGCCCGCCCCCCCTCCCACCGCAAACATAAACAGTCCCGGTGTGGATCCCTTTTTTTTAAAAACACAAAAAAAACAAAAAAAAAAGAAAAAAAAAACACACAAAAAGTAGCAGAAACAGATAACTCACACAATCAATCGCTATTACTCTTTACATTTTTTTTTGAATGGGGAGGGAGAGGAGGAGGAGGAGGAAAAAAAAATGTCCGATAGGCGGGGGATTTATTATGTGAGCACTTGGTGGTGAGGCTGTTTTTTTTTTGGGGGGGTGGGGGGGGGGTGGAAAGCCATTGCGTTCCTCTCTTCCTCCTCGCCTTTCGCGCTCTCTTTCTCTCTCTCCTCCGCCACGACCTTCTCCCGGGCGCCGCTGGGCTGGTAATGAGGGGACTGTCTCCGCGACACCTCCTATTTATACCATCCGACTCCCGGCACTGCGCAGGCGCACACTTTCCACCACCCACCCGCCACCTCCCGCCCGAGCTCGACCGACCCTCATCTTTCCTCTCTCTCTTTTTTTTATTATTTCATTTTTTTTTCTGTCTCTCTCTCTCTCTCTCTCTCTGAGGAAACTTCTTATTCTTTCGGGGTTGGTTTTGACTGCACGCGTTAAAAAAGAGAAAGCGAAAGGGGGAAGAGGAACGAGAACTGATTGATTGACGGGCCAACCGTCCAATGGTCTGACCGGGTGGCTGGGGGGAGGGCGGCGTGAACTTTGATGGACGTGGCGGCGGGCCAATGGGAGCTCCGAGTGGGCGCGACCGGCGGTTCCGCCAATGGCGCCACGACCGAGACGGGACGGGTGGGCGCAGGGTGGCCAATCCGGAGCGCGGGTTGGGGCGGAGCTAGATCACGTGGGTTTTGGTCGACGTGAGGGCGGACCAATGGGAGCTCGGGGATGGGGGTGGGGGGGGGGGCGAGCGCGAGAGAGTGGCGGTTGGCGTTTGGCGCGCGAGGCTGCAGTCCGTCAGGCTCGGTGGAGGCGAGTGGTTGAGGTGAGTGAGGCGATGAGGGAAAAGTCGCATCTCTCGTCGTCGTCCCCTTCCTCCCCCCCACGTCCTCCAGCACATCGGGTGCGAGGCGCAAGGCTTTAGATTAAAATTAATGTAGGTGGTAAACTTCTAACCCGACGGATTTAATCTGAGTTTGGGGGCAGGAGGGCGCGGCAGGGCAGGCAAGGCCAGGCCATTCAAGATGGCAGCCGACCATGCTCTTTAAGTCAGGTTGTCCCGCGGCTCTGCCGCCGCCGCAGCAGTTTACCGCTCACGGCTTTTGAAAGCGAGTTCGCTGAGGTGGATGAGGGAGGACGGAACGTGGTGGTGGTTTGCGTGTGCGCGTGAGGGAGGAGGGGAGGTTTTCTATATAATATATATATGTGTAAAATATATATATATTATATTTTATATATATATATATAAAATAATCCTCGCATTCGACACAGCTCTTCGAGACGTCTCAAAGCGCTTCACAGGATACACCGTACGATGTAGTGACTGTGTATTTTGCGGGTGAAACGCGGCAGCCAATGGCGCGTGGCGTCGCCCCCACAAGCGGTCGGTGGGTGAGTGACCACATTTTTTGGGGGGGGGAGGGAGGAGGGATTTATTACCCCCTACCCCCCCCCCCCCCCGAAAGTGATCGTCCAATTTGATATTTTTTTCAAATTTGAGGACGGTGGGGTGGGGGCGATGGTAGGGGGGCGCGTGTGTGTGTGTGGGGTGGGGGGCGCGAGGATAATAATAATCCTTGCGTTTGATGTAGGGCTTTACCGTGTCTTCGAGACGTCTCAAAGCGCTTCACAGGATATGCCGTTAAAATGGGTTAATGGTGTATTTTTCCGGGGCGAGGCGCCGGCTAAACAAGAAGGGTGTGGCGTTTGGAAACTTGCCCAAGGTTTCGCCCCAGGTGGGAGGGCGGTGCGTAGGCAGAGCTCGGCTGTCGGGAATTTTTTATTTATTTTTTTCGAAGTTATCGCTTATTTGCGTTAGACACGCAATGATTTGTCGTTCGTAGATGAACAGGATCCGGATTCACGTTTTGCCATCGAACCGGAGCCGCCTGACCGCGATCCCCCGGCTGCACGAGCCCCTGAGCTGTTCGTTTACGCATCGGCCTTGCTCCCAGCCACGCTTGGAGGGGCAGGAATTCTGTATTAAGCACATTCTCGAGGACAAGAATGCACCCTTCAAGCAGTGCAGTTATGTGTCATCAAAAAATGGGAGAAGGTGCCCCAATGCAGCCCCTAAGGCAGAGAAGAAAGATGGGTATGTACAGGACAAACTAAACCGTATTTACTGCTGTCTCTGGGCTCTCAATGCTGATGAGCAAACACGTCTTTTTTTTGTGGGGGGGGCATCAGAAAAAACTAATATTGTTGGGGAATTTGGAGTTCCCAGATTTATCCCAGCAACGAGCTGGTGCTTTTGAGGCAAGAAAAATCCAGAGCGCTCGGCTCTGTTGTCAGTTCACACGAATTTGTATCCCAGAATCGTTCTTGTAGCGGTTGAGTAACTGTTGGTTGTTCCTGTGAAAGTTGCAATGCCAGAAGGAAATCTGTAATGAGTTCCTGCTTGTGTTCCTTCTGCAGGGTGTCGTTTTGTGCTGAGCATGCTCGGAAGAATGCCCTGGCCAACCGCGGTCCATCGAAAAAATCCAGCGCCGGCCCCTCCCCCGAAGCCCTGCTCTCCCAGCTCAGCGGTTACGTAAAGAATGAATACGGCTCGCAGGGTGTGGACAACAGCCGCAGTGAAGCCAGCAAAATCCTGGGTAAAGTCACACGTCTGTCCCGCACTGCTAGAAAATTACAGTTGATTTCACCATTTGCACAGTGCATGTCTCTCCGCCCGGTGGTTCCAGTCAGCCTCCACTGCAGCTAGCGCTGTTCCTGGAGTGACGTGCCTGTCACTGCTGTAAGTTTGTTCCTGGAGCATTAGCTGCATTTTCAGGCCATTATTATAATAATAATTATAATCCTTGCATTTGATACAGCGCCTGATCACGTCTTCGAGACGCGTCAAAGTGCTTCACAGGATACACTGTAAAGTGAATTGACTGTTTATTTGTGGGCGAAATGCAGCAGCCAATTACGCACAGCAGTGTCCCACAAACCGTTGTGGGTTGAGGGACCAAATTATTATTATTTATTTATTGAAGGGATTATTATATTCTGCTCTTCTATTTTCATTGGCCTTTTATAGATGATGACAGCTGGAGTGAGGGTGAGCCAGAGAGTGTGCTAATAGAGCAGACGTGGAGAGGTGACCCGGACAGCGAGGCCGACAGCATTGACAGTGATCAGGAAGACCCCCTCAAGTGAGTAATAATAATCCTTGCCTTATCACGTCATTGAGATGTCTCAAAGCTCTTCAAATCTGTTCAAATTTGATTTTAATGGTGTCCAGTGGCTTTGGTACCGCTTGGTGCCTGCTGGTGGCGCTAATAGCAATTGGGTCTGTTGCAGTTGGTAGTGCCATCTGCAGATCTCAACGCGATATAAATTTACATTTGTATAGCGCCTTTCACGTCAGGGGGACGTCACAAGGCACCGGGATGTAACAATACGAGTGGGAACGAGAGCTTACCGTGTGTGAAATTATTTCAAGGGAACAGTATTAGATTTGTGTGTTTGGCCAATGAACTGTGAAGCCCGAGATTTCTGTGTGATGGGGAGACTAGACAAATATGCTGATTTCTCTAGAAAGTTGAGGGGAGACCTGGGTATAGGTGTCCAGAATAATGAATTCTGATGGGGGTAAATGGGGAGAAAATGTTTCCACTGGCTGGTGAGTCCATGACTAGAGCACGTCAACAAAACAGACCGAAGTTATGATTTTTTTAGTCAATGGGGTGTAGGATTTTTTTTAAATATTGGTTTGAAGCAGAATCTAAAATCGTGCCAGTGCCTTTTGAAAGGAAATTGGAGACGTACCCGATAAAGGGAAGTGCATAAGCATGTTGGCGAAACTAGCAGACAACAGGACCACAGCAGCAGCATAATGATGATAATCCTTGCATTTGATATAGTGCTTCACAGAATATACTGTAAAGTGCATTGACTGTCTATTTTGTGGGCGATACAAATGTATTCCAATCATTTACATGTGCTTCTAGTTGACCTGCTTGTTGAGCTGGGAAATAAATTAAAAAGGAAGTGGTTACAATATTGACTGAATTGCCTGTAGTACTCTAAAGTTAACAAAAGCACATTTTAAGAGTGGTGGATACATATATTTTAACAAAGTATTGCTCTAGGCATGCTGTTTCTTATACAGATTTTCCCGGCACCTTATTCATATTAAGTGTTCGAGATACCAGGCGATTTGCACTTAATATACTGGTGTCTACTCTGTGTCCCCACTGCTAGGGGCCATTTTGCTTCAAGTGCTTTGAAGCAACATGGTTTTTGACAGTTTTGATGTTTCTTCCCTTTCTCTTCCCCCTCCCCCATATACATACACAGAAAATTATGTCCTACCAGCAGCTTGCTTTAACATGTAATAAGAAGCCACTCTGTGCTGATGTGAGTTTCAGACAGCAGGAAGCTTGTGGTATCTGGTGACAGAGCTGGTAACTGTCTGTCCAGGGAAGTTAATGCTTGATTTTGAATGAGAGAAAAATGTTTTCTTTGAACCTCACTTTTCATGTGCAGCAATGAAAAGGCAAAGGAGTGCTTTGTGTGTTCTGGAGATCGAAGCTGCTTGAGGTCCAGAATGTTCCTTTTAGCTCTTACATAAATGCCCAATTGGCCAGTAATTTTTTAAAACTGTTTAGCTGCTTAGTTCTGAACTTCTGAGTTCCAGACACTTCCTTCCATTTGATGTCAAAATGGCTCTAAGTTCTTCATAAGTAAAATGGCTGATCGGTGTAGTGGATCTGTAGGCACATAATAAAGTTCCTCAAGCGTCTATGAAGTGGACGATCAATTCAATATTGAAGTTGTGACCTGGCGGGATTGGTGTTGTGTTCTAAGTCCTTGTGACTGCGCACTCCGAGAATGTGTCCCCACCTTGCCTGCCCCACCATTGACGGGCGGGCCTTCAGCCTCTCTGCCCCCACTCTCTGGAACTCCATCTCACAGTCCCTCCGTCTCGCCCCCTCCCCTGCCTCCTTCAAGATCCTCATCTTCAACCCTGCTTAGGTTACCCTCCCCATCCCCCCACTCCTGATCCCAACCACCAGCTCGGGTGCGGATCCCTTACTGTCCAGCGCATTGGGACGTCCTCCTGACATGAAAGGCGCTATACAAATGTAATTTGTTGTTTTGGGTTTCCGCTGGGCCAGTTTGTGTGCTTCTCTGGCAGTAAAGGTGTACGTTGCCTTTCCCAGACACGCGGGCGTTTACACGGCAGAGGAGGTGGCGCTCATCATGCGGGAGAAGCTGATCCGCCTTCAGTCCTTGTATATCGACCAGTTCAAACGCCTGCAGCATCTACTCAAAGAGAAGAAGCGTCGCTTCCTCCACACCAGGAAGTTGAGCATGAAACCATAGGTAAGGCCAGGGCTTCAGGCTGTACCCAGGGGCTTACTTACTGCCCTTAAATATCTATCCTCTTGATATTTGTTAAGGCATATGAGGCAAGGGCGGGTATTTGGGCTTGAGGTACAGATCAGCCATGATCTTATAGAATGGTGGAACAGACTCGAGCTGAATGGTCTACTCCTGTTTCTATGTTAACGGTTTGGGATCTCACATCCTATACTTTGCCAGTGTATGTACCTTTGATTATCATGACTAATGCGTAAATGTTAGGACTCTGTAGATTACTATTACACAGAGTTTCAATGAAATGCACGTGTAAGCACTGCTACCACCTCCCCAGCCATCTCCACAGTTTTTCAGGTCTACATTTAGAGTTACAATTGTGAAGGTTTTGCATCTGTTTTGTGTGCAGGGAGTAGCCTCTTGACTGGCCCTGAGGGTCTCTTGCTGAAGGAGCGCACAGACCTGCGTAAGCTGCAGGCCCTGAGGCGTTATCGCCGACGCTATGGGGTTGAGGCCCTGCTGCAGCGGCAGCTGAAGGAGCGTAGGGTGTTGGCCACAGAGGGTTCAGCTCAGCAGGTGAGCCAGTGAGAGGGCGTGTGCTGACCGTAATAATCCTTGCATTTGATATAGTGCCTTAATATGTCGTCAAAACGTCTCAAAGCGGTTCACAGAATATACTGTAACACGGATTGACTGTATTTTGTGGGTGAAATGCAGCAGCCAATTGATAACTAAAGGTTTGCATGTTCTACTGTAGTATAAAGAGTTTAATTACTTTTCTCTTTACCAGGCGCACTTGTCCTCCCTGCGGACAGTGCAGCGCTGCTCATCTGTTGCCGATGGTGTTCGCTGCTCCAGCCCCTGCCTTCCCATGAGTCGGCACTGCCAGTCCCGTATCCTTTAAACCCCGAACTCTCGTCTTTGCCAGTTTGTCTGTCTGTCCGGTCCTCAATCTCAACATCGTGTTATTAGCCGGGTTTTGTTGTCAGCTGCAGGAGAACGTGCCTGTGCAAGCATAAAACAATAGTGACTTGCATTTATGTCGCCCCCTTCACGTGGGCAGCCGTCCCAGAGCGCTCGAAAAGATTCAGGGCTTCTTTACCGTGAAAAGTGCAATATCGATGTCACTCGCTGATTCTCTGAAGCCTAGCAATGAGCTCACTGCATTGTGCAAACTGGTGGGGAATCCTCTGACAGCAGGTGCCTTAATTACATGAAATACTCAATCCTCTTTCTCCTATACACGGGTGCACACGTGGGCGTGAGCTGGTCAGTGAGGAGGTGGAATCTACAAACAAACCTTTACCATGAATTGGATCTCAATGTGGTATGAGGAGGTGTGTTTTATAATGATGACACTGTCCTTGCAGGAAGGAGAGTTGGTGTTATTTTGTTCAATAATCCTGTGCAAACACAAGGGATAGCAGCCCTCCCTGATCTTTGAATCTGTGCGCAAATATTGCCTTGACCTGCCTGCAGATATCTGTCAGGATCCCAACCAGGTGCTGTTCAAGATGTGCCCGGGTGTGAAAGCGGTGCCCTGCACTAAGCCAGTCTCTCTCAGCCTCTCTGAGGAGCCTTACTGTGCTCTCCACCTGCCGGTGCCACCGCAGATGTACAAACCGGAGCGAGGATTCTCCGTGCCGGATCATCTGGAGAGCGGACCCTCAGAGCTGTACCTGAGCGCTGCCGAGCTGCAGCCCTCTGAGATCCTACCTTTGGAGTTCAGTGACGTGAGTGCAACAGGATTGGGGTTTCTCCTTCTGAGCTCGATACGACTAGAATGGTAGAATTGAGTAGCGCAGATAGATAGAAGCGTACTGCCATTGTAGCTCTATATGAGTTAAATGTTTAGTCCCACTCCCATCTTTTCCTCCCCAGCCACATGTTTTAGTCCCATTGGTGGTCAGGCTCTCAGCCTCTCTGTCTCCCCATCCTTTGTAACTCCATCCTACAGTCCCTCCGCCTCGCCCCCTCCCTTACCTCCTTCAAGGCCTGTCTCAAGACCCTTTGACCGTGCCTTCGGTTACCCTCCTACTTATGCCCTCCTGATCCCAACCCCCAGCTTGGGTGCAAATCCATGATTGTCCAGCAATTTGGGACGTCCTCCTGACGTGAAAGCCACTGAGTAAATGTAAGTTTTTGTTGATATTTTCCTTTACGAACATTTGCCTTCATTCTCTTGTGACAGGCACTGAATCAAGGCCAATAGCTCACTGTAGCCATTGGTTTCAAACAGGAGCCGAGAGTAAACATCTTCTTTGGTCTGTTGGGCTCTCAGAGTTTCAAAAGAGAGTTTGCCAGTTCACTTAGAAGAAACAAACCTTAGCTCTGGAGACCTTGTGCAGGGAATAGGGGTGGGGGGGAGAGAGAGGAGATTAAACATTTTCTCTGCTTGGTTTGTGAGGCCTAAAGGCTCTACTTAAGTGAAACACCAGGCCATACAGCCAACTCCCAAGTTTGATCTTGATTATGATCTCAACCGAGTGTGTGTGGGAATGAGTGAGTGTGTCCAAGCTAATCTGGTTGTCCTTCCTGCAGGATTGCCTGGATGTGGTGGGAGATGGGCCGCAGTGCCCACCTTCGCCGCTGTTTGACCTGGCTCTGGGGTTGGGTGAGCAGTCGATGAACGAGATGGAGATCCTGACCGATGAGGAGCAGCTACGAGCCGACTCCGCGGATACCCGAGACGGGGCTGAGCCCAGTTCCAGCACCTGTCGGGTCCCCTCGGAGCTGAGCTGTTCACACACCCCGCTTCTAGGGTCTGGCGGGCAGGTGAGACAGTTATACTGTGCGTTTTGTGTACCGTGAACATTATGAAGGGGCTGGGCTGGAGTGTTCGGGGAGGCGCGGTGCTGACAGGGCGCATCTCAGGGAAGGCTCTAAATCAAGGCCAAGAGCTCTCTGTAGCCACTGGTTTCAAACAGGAGCCGAGAGTAAACATCTTCCTATGGTCTGTTGGGACTCCGTTTTTCCTTTGTTGAGAGTCTTTCAATTCAGTTGGAAGAAATAATTCTTTCATCTTGCCCGGGAATCAAACCCAGGTCCTCTCGCTTATAAGGCAAGCGCTCTGACCGCTACGCTACAGGACTTATAGGTTGGTGGAGTGTTGCTGTTAGTGTTTGTAAGAGTCCAGAGAAGCTGGACTTTTGATGGAGATCATTGTTTTGTTACAGGCAGACCTGCCGTCCTCCGAACGCTTGACGGCACAAGACCAGAACGGCACCAAGGATGCCAGCTGACCTGACCTGCCTGAACATTAAACTGCCCCACAGTTTGATACGCGAGCAAGTGCTAATGATCAGAGAGCAGCTCCCTCGGTAGGCGGGGGCTGGCGTTATGGATCCAGGTACTTGTTGCTGGTGTGGACCGAGCGAGCCAAGAGGAGACTTAACGCAACTGAACGTTGATCTGTGTCTGCTCAGGTGTCACACAGGGTGCTCTGTGTGTGTTGGTGGGTAGGTGGAAGCAGCTTAGCCCAGTCAACAGCCAGTGAGGTGTTTTGACTGTTTTATTTTCCTTTGTGACCTAAGTTAGAAGCTGAACCGCAGTTCAGGTCTCGGGGCCTGAGACAATGTGCGATAACTGATTCCTGCCACGGTGAACGCAGTCGCTTTGCGTTAGTCCTTGTAAACTACTGGAGAGACACAATGCAGCTTCCAGCTTTGACATGGATTTGGGGGGAAATGGTATATAGAAGATTTTCTCTCTCATTTCCCCCCCCCCTCCGCGCCCCCCATCCAGCACAACATTAAAGCTGTTAGGGGAAGGGTTTCAGCAGTTCTTTGTGCATTACGGTAAACCTCACGCAAGTCGTATCAGTTGGGACCAGACGTTTAATATGACTCGTACAAAGTATGAGTTATGCCAAACGTGCATAGAATATAAACTTGAATGGGACAGAGGCAGATCATAATAATAATCCTTGCATTTGATATAGCGCCTTGTCGCACCTTCGAGACGTCTCAAAGCGCTTCACAGGATACAATGTAAAGTGTAGTGACTTTTTTGTGGGTGATGTATGGCTTAGGGATTATATGATTCATGCAGATCGGACGTGTTTGAGTTTTACTGCATTTACGTTTTGTTCAGCAATGAACTGAAGCTGCTGTATCGGGTGGGGAAGGGGGGAGGAACAGAAACTTGACCAACGTTCTGTCCTGCCTGGGAATGGAACCCAGGTCCCCTCGCTTGCGAGGCGATCGAGCCATCGAGTTTGTTCCAACTTTGCGCGTGACAAAGCTGCTCCGTGGGTGCTTCTGGACTCTGCAATGAGTTGCTATGTTACCCTGGACCGTTCAGTAATGCAGCTAATTCCCACTTGGGAGACGTACGAAAGTCCCCAATCCACAAATCAACCATCAACGAGCTCAAAGGTAAATTTCCCGTCACAGAATCCTCGTGCCCACATTAACGTCCTGGGTCCTGTGAGCTCTGTGTGGAACGCGACTCAAGTGCTGGTCTGGAGAGGCTTCAGAAAGAACATGGCAGTGTCTTGTCACAGCCTCGGCCAAATCTATATCAATGTTTGTGTACAATGTGATGTGGACAAACCTTTTCATTAAAAATTGTTGAATGTGTATCATTAACTATTGTGCTTTTTTTTTTGTTCTGGTTTAACATGGGAAGTGGAATCAGCGAGACTGGTTTTCTGTCCTTTTGCTCTCCTCCTGAACGCGCTGAGCTGTGAGCAACAGGCACTTGCTTGGTGACAGCACAGAGCCGAGGATGGAACCTGCCCCTGTATGTGCTCATTATAACATGACACTTTAGCCGCACATTAATACAACTCGCTCGGTAACCACCCCGGTAACTACCTGGGTAACCATCCCGGTAACTACCCCAGTAACTACCCCGGTAACCATCCTGGTAACCACCCCGGTAACTACCCGGGTAACCATCCTGGTAACCATCCTGGTAACCACCCCGGTAACTACCCTGGTAACCATCCGGTAACCATCCCGGTAACCACCCCGGTAACTACCCCAGTAACCACCCCGGTAACTACCCCAGTAACCACCCCGGTAACCACCCCCGATGATTACCCCGGTAACACTCCCAAACTCTGCCCCCGGCAATGACCCCACTAACGCTCTGTCCTGTTGTCGGCAGCTGCTGGACCTGGGGACGGGGGAGGAACTGAGCTCGGAGGCAAGTCTCCCGGGATCACACTTCTACCCAGGTAACCCCCCCCCACCTCCTCCCCCGCCCCCTATCCCCCACCTCCCCCTATCCCCCGCCTCCCCCTCCCCCCTCCCCCTATCCCCCCCCTACCCCTATCCCCGCCTCCCCCCCTCCCCCTCCCCAATCCCCACCTCCCCCCATCCCCCGCCTCCCCCCTCCCCTCCCCCTCCCTCCCCCTCCCCCCCCCTCCCCCTCCCCCTATCCCCCCCCACCCCTCCCCCCTCCCCTCCCCCCCACCCCTCCCCCCTCCCCACCCCTCAACCCCACCCCGGGGCGAGGCCGCCAGCCCAGACCCTCACTGTGATGCCACGTATCTCTCTCTTTCCGCCCCCACCCCTCTCTCTCCCTTCCTTTTTCTCGCCCTCCCCCCTCACTCTCTTGCACTCTCTCTCTCTCTCTCTCTCTCCTCAGGCTCCGGCTTCCAGGCCCGCACCCTGGACAGTGGGATCGGGACATTCCCGCTGCCGGACGCTGGCGACGTTTCGGGGAAAGCCGCTCCCAGAGCCTGGCCGCGGGTGGGGAGCGAGGGGGGGGCGTCCACGGGGAGCCCGGAGAGAGAGGCGTCCAGCGGCGGCCTCCCCACTTCCGCTCCGAGCAGCGGCCTGGCCCCCTCCCCCTCCCTCGCCCCCTCCCTCCCTCCCACCCCCAGCCCCCCGCCGGCCCGGCTTCACAACCGCATCGCTTCCCATCAGGAGCTGATCAGGAAACTGGCCACGTCAGGTACCGCCCGGGAGAGGGATAATAATAATAATAATAATAATAATAATATATAATAATAATAATATTATAATAATAATTAATTAATTAATTAATTAATTGATAATGACCCTTACATTTGATATTGCGCCCAATCACATCGTCGAGGCGTCCCAAAGCGCTTCACAGGATATACAGTCCGCGCGTGTGTGTGTGTGTGTGAAACAGTGTGTGTGTGTGAGAGAGAGACACAGAGTGTGTGTGTGTGTGACAGACACTGTGTGTGTGTGTGTGTGACAGACACGGTGTGTGTGTGTGTGTGTGACAGACACTGAGTGTGTGTGTGTGTGTGACAGACACGGTGTGTGTGTGTGTGTGTGACAGACACTGTGTGTGTGTGTGTGTGACAGACACTGTGTGTGTGTGTGTGTGACAGACACGGTGTGTGTGTGTGTGTGTACAGACACGGTGTGTGTGTGTGTGTGACAGACACGGTGTGTGTGTGTGTGTGTGTGTGACAGACACGTGTGTGTGTGTGTGTGTGTGTGACAGACACGGTGTGTGTGTGTGTGACAGACACGGTGTGTGTGTGTGTGTGTGTGACAGACACGGTGTGTGTGTGTGTGACAGACACGGTGTGTGTGTGTGTGTGTGTGTGTGTGACAGACACGGTGTGACTGTATTTTTGTCTCTTTCAGACGCAGAAGCTTCGAGGAACAACCTCCTCCCATTGCACTGCCCCGAGGGGAGGGTCCAGAGCAGCCCTAACGCGAAGGTGCGAGGGTCAGTGCCGGGGGAGGGCAGGGAGCAGCAGCCCCCACCCCGCCACCACCACCGAGCGGGGGTCAAGGTCAGCAACAACGCCAGACACCCCCTGCTTAACATCTCCCCCTGCCAGGTAAACACAGGCGTGTGCGCGTGTACGTGTGGAGTAAGGAAACCTGCCGAAGGTTTCGCCCTGACCCGGGAATCGAACCCGGGTCCTCTCGCTTTGGAGAAGATTGTGCTAACCATTGCGCTGGTTTCTCTCTCTGATTCTTCCTCCCTCCATCTCTGACTCTCTCTCTCTCTCTCTCTCTCTCCTCTGCAGAAGGTGATCGCGGCACCCAGAGACCAAGCCGGCAGCCTGGGGGTGTCCCAGAGGCCGTGCCCACATCCCCTGCCCATCGCCGCCTTAGGGCCGGGAGTCGAGACGGTGACCGGAGTCAACGGCAAGAAGGCCTTGCTGGAGATAGCAGTGTCCGGGCCGTGTCACACCAGCACAGACATCTCCGAGTCTCTGAGCGACTCGCTGTACGACAGTCTCTCATCCTGCAACAGCCAGGGATAATCCCCATCCCAACCCCATCCCCGCACACACCTCCGGAATCCTCCCCCCCCCCCCCCCCCCCCCGCAACCTGTACGGACGGCCGGCACATTAGACAGTCGCACCAGGGCACTCACAGCCCGGCCCGGCTCATCGGCAGGACCTGGAAGGGCCGACCGGTCACTGGGGAATCCTCCCCCCCTCATCTCCTGTTAAACCCCGCAGCCAAAGCCCTAACTAACTAACGGGGAGGATGGGGGGTGGTCCTCGCTGGATAAGCAGCGTGAAAGCTTAGCCAGACAGCGCTCTCTCTCTCTCAATGACGAGCTATGTGTGGGTTTAGACCCCAGCAGTTACCCCCAACACACATTCTGGGGCTCCCCCCACCACCCCCCCACTTCCCCACCACAAGCCTTGGCTCTTGTCAACCTGCGCCTAATACTCTCCGGAATTAGGTAAGCCGGGCGGAGAGAGAGAGAGAGAGAGAGAGAGCGCGCATTCCATTCCGACATTATCTCTGGAATTCCTATGTGTAGGTGAGAGGTGAGGAATTCTCAGTCGGGTTTGGAGACTCTTAAGCGACGGTGTTGGGTTTCCGTGCGTGTCTGACACCCGCCTGGGCAAAAAAAAATCTACTCGGCGTCTCGCAAACCTCTTCCCGTGCGTGTGAGGTGCAATGGGTCCCCTCCTCGGTGTGTCGGGCGGCACACGGCTGTGAGAGGCTGCGTTGAGGCCTGCGCTGAGGAAGAAAGCGAAACGAAAGCTTCCAGAATACTCTATCGCCGCTGGCGACCGAGCGCTGAGCCCCTCGAAGGGCCGGAGCGGTTGGTGGGTACTGTAATTGACGCCGCCGACGGCAGCGATCGTGTAAATACACCAGGGCTGCAACCGAACGATCTCCTCCGCTCCGCGCACGGACTTTGGCGGAAACCTTGGGACGTTGATTAAAACGGAAACGTTGATGAAAGCCGCCGACCGTGTCTGCTGCCGTTACTCCGCTCCCTCCCGCCGTCGGGCTCGGTCGCTCCCGGCTTAGCCCGCCGGGGCTTTTCGAAGTAAAAACGCGCGCGACCCAACCCGCACTCGCATCGCGCTCTTCGCCCAGGAAGCGTCAGGAGGCGCTTAACCTGAGGAGGGCCGCAGTATCGTGGTCAGAGACCTTTCGCCTCACGAGCGAGAGGATCCAGGTTCGATTCCCGGGCGGATCAGGTCAGGGCGAAACCCGAGGCAAGTTTCCTTACACCACACACGCGCGCACAGACACACACGCACACACAGACACGCGCACACACAGACACACACGCACACACACACACTACAGTATCTCTAACCCTGACCTGATTTGGGAGTGTGGACGCACAGTGTAGAGGGAGCTTCACTGTGTCTCTAACCAGTAAAGCTGTGACGGGAGGATAATAATAATAATAATCCTCACATTTGACACAGCGCCTTATCAGGTCTTCGAGACGTCTCAAAGCCCTTCACAGAATATACTGTAACGTGAATCGACTGTGTATTTTGTGGGCGAAACCCAGACTGGGATAAACCCCATCGTAGGGTTATTGGCGCTCGACCTACGTGTAAAGGGAGCTAACAAGGGCTGCCCCATGATAATGGGGCACACGGTCTAAGTAATAATTGAGCCCCAGTGTGACGCAGGGGGTTTGGGAGTGTGAGGAGAGAATCTGGAGAAGACAGAGCGATGGACAGAGGTGGTCAAAATAAGCTTTTTTTGTTAAAACTGTTGTGCAAGTATTTTTTTTGGTGTAATCCGTACCATCCCGCAAAACGTCAAAGTCAAACCCGTTGTCGCCGGATGTTACTGTGACTTATTGCAAAGTTTTGAGTCAAATGTGGAAGTCGTATCAAAATAAATTTACTGGGACCCACGGTGTAGACTCAGGCGATTATGCAATATAACATTATACTTGCACAACGTCTTTCACCTCAAGAAGACCCCCATCTCTGGCTCTACATCACCAGCGTCTCCTTCCTCTGCATCACCTTCACCGCCATTGTGCAGAGAATCGGCGCCACTGGTTGTGCGCGATTGGCCCCCGCGTTTGGCCCACAAAGCACACGGTCACTACGCTTTGCGGTGTATCCCGTGAAGCGCTTTGAGTCGTCTCAGAGACCTGATCAGGCCTTGTGTCAAATGAGACGATTGTTATTGTTGTTAAAGCTTTGTTCATCCCAGATTTGACAACTACATTGTGTGTTCTGCATTGTGTGGGCGCGCGTGTGTGCGCGTGTGTGTGCGCGTGTGCGTGCGTGTGTGCGTGCGTTTCAATGTGATTTAAAGCAATTAAGGAGCTCCTAATCCCCCAACCTGCCCACCAGCAGGTGTTGTGTTCTGTCTGTGTAAAATCACATGAAGAGCTTTACGTGAGAGCTTTGCAGCT